ATCAATGTCATTTAAGATGAGATGGCGTACTCAAACAATGACGTCATAAGAAACATATTTTCTGAAGAGAGAAATGATGTTGTCAAGAACAGTCTTTTCCAATTTAAAGTATACCGATAGCTATAAGTGAGCTTATTTCACTATGTCTGGAACTTGATTCAGTACCTTCAAATGTGGAACATTCCCTCTAACGCATAGCTCCTGTAGCGTTTGCCACGTTTTCCACCACCACAACATGACTCGCGGCTTTCTGTAAGGAATTTGCTTTAGTTCGGGCTGATAAACGTTTAAAATGGGTACGCGTACGCGTACCGTAAGCGTACGCGCACGCGTCAGACACCTTGATCTACAGGCTTAGGGAGGAGGGTATGGGCTACCCGCTTTCCGTGTAATGTTGACACGATCGTATTTCGATCCTGCTTTAGTTAGGCGACTCTCTTTTTAGACCTGGATGCTTGCCACTGACTTCATTTCCATGGCATTTGTCAGAGCCGGTTAGGGAGCCCTTCGGGCGTACACGTCCCATCACCGCGAGCGTAATGAGAGCCGGCTGTCTGATGATTGGCTGATGGAACGGGCAGCAGCGCGCCCAGGGTTTTTTCAGCGGGTAAGACAACTAGGCCTAGGATTAGGGACCCCTGGCTCCAGGGACCCTCGGTCTCAGCAAGACGGGATAGGCTTTTTTGTTGGGTGGACGATGCTGCGGAATTTAATTTGAGCGTTGCGGACTCACAGGCTACTTTTCTCGTTAAGCGACGTAAAGCCGGAAAAGACATTAGTCGCTGTATCTCACAGAAAGTGACAGTGCAAATGGAATCATGGACTGGAATCAGGTTAAATCATGTGATTCCATGAGCTTCATCAGTTAAGAATTCTTAGGCTGACAATAATCGGCATTCAGTATTCCAATAGGTAATGCGTCAAGTTTTGATAATATTACTAATTTTCTTTCCATTGCGTCGTTTAACTAGTGCTTTCTGGCATGCTGAATGTCGGCTTTAGTGAGCAAAAGATCAACATTCATAAAATCTGAATTTGTAATGCCCTAAAACATACTCCCGAGGTCTTTTTTACGGTAAGTACATCCACAAACACGGTATAATTTACATATGACGCTCCAAAAATATATTTCAAGACTCAAAGTCGGTACCCAAGATGCCATCCAAGCACGACTGGTTCTGTCCGTTAGTTTCACAACCCTACGACAGTCTCACAGACAGCCAGAGTTGGGCGAGAAATACACCCGGACTCAGCACGTTAATACGGCGCGGTACTATATGGAAAGAACAACGAGCCAATAGCTGCCGAACCAGGACACGTACCTGCATATCACTGGTGGGCGGTGGTTATGCTGTCACTCGAGCTGGTGGTCTGTGGAAAAGACGAGGGCAGGCATCGCCGCCAAACTCAGGTGCGGGGTTGACTTGGATCAATGAAAATTACCCCGGCCGGGTTAACAAAATTATCAAAGTCTCAGAGTCAACTGATTTCAGGGTACACGCATTAGTGACGCACGCCGGGAGGTTTTTGCTGTCGAGTGAGCGCAATGGGGTCAGGTCTAACATGATGGGTAGAGCTCCGTATCATTTTGAGGGGGTATGACCCAACAATCTGGAGCCAACCCCCCCCCCCCCCCACACGCACACTAACACGCCAACTCTAACACTTAAAGCGTTGGAGAGGAACTAGGAGAAAGTACGCGGCTCCTCTGTCCCTCTACCTTCCAAGGATGGGTTTCCAGCCCCAAAGCCCTCTTACGAAGTTCTACCGTTGCCTGAGGTGCCTTTAGGCTGCGAACATTAGCCCGTACAGATCAGGGGGCGCAGGGGGCACGTGCCCCCTTGGCCCCGAGGGGCCCGAAGGTCCCTCAGGACTAACGATCAAGGACCCAATTGGAGAGCCGAAATGTCCAAATGACTGGCTGTGGGTCACATCAAGAATCTCGGCCCGTGGGACAGGGACCTCAAATGGCAATCAGAGATCCTTTTGCATCGGTTGGCGACCTCCTGGAACAATGCGGGTTTGTATTTCAGCCAGAGACCACCAACACCGAGGAGTCGACTTTGTATCGGTCTGAGCCCTGGGGACCATTTTCCAAGCAAGGATTTGCATTGGCCGGGGCCCTTGAAACAATCATGGGTGCTGTGTCGGTCTGGGGCCCACAGTGCTTAACAGGAGATCCTGTGTTGGCAAGGATACCGAAGTCGGCCAGGGGAGCATTCGTTGAAGAAGGGCAGGGACGGGACTCCGAAGACCGCAGGGCCTTTCCCTTTCCTATGTTGGTCAGGGGACCAAGCTCCGAACGGACCCCCCATCCATTTTCAGCTAAGGGCCCACCGAAGCGACTCATAGTCTTGTGATCATCATTGGATACCCTGCGGCGATAACGGGTTTGCTTGCGTCAATAAGGGCACCTGCGTCGATCTGGGGCCCACCGCCTGGGTTACAGAGCAGTTGGTCACCCGTCACCCGTCAGCAGGTCCCCTTTAGAGAGGGGACACATGCATGATGTATCTCTCCAAAGTAGGATCTGTATGTTTCTGTCCTGAAAGCAAAACAAAAGGGATTTCATCAGTTTTGAATTCAGTGGATCGAAATGAGGCAAAAATTGGAAATGGGCCAGCTCTTGTTTGCTAGAAGTTTTCGTGGAACCGAACGGCATTGGTCGCTGCCGATAACACCAGAAAGTTGACACCGGGCACGCGAGAGTAACCGCTGTGAAATAATGTTTCCAAAAGTTGTTTTCCAAAATGAATAAGTAATGTTCAAATAAAAGACCAGAGCGTATACTTCACATGTGTAATTTTAAAGCTGTCTTCTGAGTAGATTATCATTTGATACAAATCGGGACAAGTCAACAAGACAAATAGTCTACATTGACGCCTTCAGCTACACCACCAGATTCCAGCTTCTATCATGCACCTAAAAATCGTACTGGCTAAATAGACGCCCGGACTACCTATTCAGAGAACGAATTGATGTCATGAAGAGTTCATTGGTACTTATTTCAGACACGTCATCACTTTCGTCTGCCCATTGGCCGCCGCGCAGCGTTGACCGTAGGACCAACCCCGCGTGATAAGTGGAGATTGCAACGCTGGGCATCGCGATTTTTGTTTTTAAGAGCTTGGACTAGGCGCGAGCTAGATCGAGCCTGCATGTCGAAAGCTGTACTATGTAATTGTTTTCACTCATCAATTCTGTGTGGATTATTGAAACCGCGGGAAGGCCTAACATTTTCAGATGAACGTGGATTGGCCATATTACTGCAAACTTTGAATCAATTTCCATTAACCGTCACGCGATTCATGGTCAGTATTGTCTGGAGAACCTAGACAAATTCTGGCAAAACTTCTGGCTATCATCTGTTGAGAAAGAGCGCACTGAACAGCTGTAAAATCGGTTTATTCAATGCAGTTATTTTATGCTCGCTTTTTCCAGTTTATTTACCTCAAAATGCAGACAAAATTGTGACTCACCGTAACCATTGATTGCTGTTCTAGTTGACAGAAATCGTACTTTTTCGACATCAAGCAAGCTATATCCGGGATTTTTTTTTAGAGGGAACTCTCTCACCATCAGGTGTCATTTGTCAACCCTGTGCCCCTGCTCCTCAACAAGACTCTGGCTGTGCCCTGCCAGAAAGTCATTTTTCAGACCGGCAGAGGACCCTCCTGCACTACAGAACGGGCCTCTTACAGCGCGGTCCTTCTTGAAGACTCGGTGAACCCCGCAGGGGTCCTGCGGGGTCAAGCAGGCGCAGGAGATAAGCAGGCGTCCCAGAGACCAGTAAAAATAATTTTGCAAGTCAGCACGGACCAACGTGCAGCGGGGGCTTCTACTCAGGAGCATGGAGGGCCCAGCCCGAGACTCTAGTCACGTTTGATGTTCACACATCTAGCACACGCCAGCGGTACCGCACGAGTGAAAAAAAAAAACACCTGAGTCACCACAGACAAACCCAGAACCTCTTTTCCGAGGACCGTAATCCTGTGCCCCGGAACACCCCGCGTCACACCGCGAGCCTGCAGAGCACGCATGCGGCGTTGATCCCGCACGCGTGCCGGTCGCGCCAGCGACCGCTCCCGCCGGCGACTCTTTGAGCTACGGCCATGCGCGCGCGAGCGCCGCCAACGCCGCAGGTGGTCCCGCACTTCTAGAGAGCCGCCGCGGCCAACAGGTCACGGCTGAGGCACGCCGGGGAATGGGAGGCCCCGCGGGCCCCGCAGGTGCGCCTCCCGTCCCACCGGAGCCGGACCTACCCCGGATGAAGCGACAGACCAGCGCCGGCGGTGGCGGTGGCGGTCGCGGCGGCGGATCCGGCCCGGCGGGAGTGACGCGACGTGTCGCCGCCACCGAGACATTCCGCCGTGGATCACGCTCGCCAGCGTCGGCGGACTCGGCGCGCCGGTCCGTGGAACGGGACGGGCGCGGGACAGGTACCGCCGCGCGGTCACCACTCGGGGGTTCGTGGAGGCGTCGGCGTCGGGGGCGTTTTAAATTAGTCTACCCCAATGCGTCACCATGGGTGGAGACTGCCGTCAATGAAGTCATCATTTCATCATTCTGCTACTACAAAACGCCCCTCCGATTGCGAGATTTCAAATTTGCTGGAAGATAATCCGAGTGCAGGCCCCACCCTACCTCACGGTGCCCGCGTTTCCAATGAGTTTATTCGCATGGGCCTCTGACCGCGTAGGAGCCCAGCGCGAACCCAGGCTCGACTGCCCACGCGATTCCTGCCACGAAACTAACTGCCAACGCCGCGGGCGCCGTCGCCTGTCGACAGCGCGTCTTTTTCGCAGTAGAACGGCGTCATTGTTCTTCCTTGCACGAGGCCGTCCGTCAGCAGAAAACGAACCAAACTCCACTGACATTTGGCCCACCTTTATAGCCCACGTCTACACACGGTCGCTTCTGTGAACAATCTGCCCCCGGCGCCATTTATTTCCACTCTCTTCTGAGCCAATACACAGAGAGGCCCAAGCAAACATGGAGGCCATCTCTTGCGATTTTTATTTGTCTTTCACAGCATTTTGGTCACAGCAGTGCCGTGTGTAGCAGGGGCGGGGGCTGAACCCGCTGGGTTCACCTCGCCCCGCCCCCGCCCGACGGCATCCGAATACAGCTAACGGCTGATACCCTATCAGAACAAGAGCCCACGCCCGTCGGCTCGCCATGGTGCCGTCGGCCCGGCCCCCCAATCACGTCACGTTTGGCCCGACCAATCAGCAGCCCGGACCGACGGCGAGCGGTTTCGACGCGCAAACCACAGCATCACAGCTCCAGCTAGGGATGGTCTACATACAGTTGCGTTACATGTTTTTGTACTTTAGATTTTACACTTTTTTTGTTTGCTTGTATACGAGGTGCTTTGTAGTACCTTGTGGGCGCACGCACAAGGCACGCCCACACCTTGGTCACAGACTGTTCCGTCCTGCGGAGATCGCTCACTGAATCTGGCCGGTCAGCCAGGCAGGGAGCCGGCGGTGCGTGTAGCGCGGGGCAGCGGGAGCGGGCGGAGTCAAACCGCCAGTACCGGCTCGAGAGATACGGCCTACATGCTGGGGCGGGCTGTCCAGGGGCAAATAACGGCACACCGACAACAGACAATACGGCGCACGCGAACGTCGGCAACTGCCCCATCAACACCAAACAAAAAGAAACAAAAAACGTTAACAGAAAAGCGGCAATACAACGCGTGGATTCATGACATGATTCCTGCTAATTTCAACAAAACACATTGCAGGTGTTGACTATGGTGGTTGTCCCTTGCCAGTCGCAAACCCTCGGCACGAAAGTACGCCAATGATTCCAAACTTAACACGTAAAATCAGCAATGATCACCTTGAGAAGGCAAGACACATTACAACAAAATGCATAGCTTGAATGACTGAATGTTCTGTTCCCTGGATCCCATAATTATAATATGATGCAATTCAGGCGCCCACTTTGCTCCCAACACAATGCAGCCATGTGGCAAAATAAGAAACCTCATTGCAGCTTAAAGAAAGTTAACATTTTTTTCGTTTAGCGAAGCAAACATGGATATGGCTGCAAAATACATTGCATGCATCAAGGTCCCGGGTATCGCGAGCATTCGCCAAGGTGTTAATGAAGTCGCATTTCATCCGGCTCTGGTGGGGAAAAATTGTATCACATATCCAGATCAAACATGAGCTCATTATTCAGCAGATCTTTTTGCTTGCGATCTTGCTTGCGCTTGTTCTTGCGCTTCTTCGCACCTTGTTTACCCACCATGGCGCCGGTGCTTCCATCTGTCGCGGATGACTGGTACTCGTCGTTCTCAGACGTGTCACCATCGCTGCTGCTGCGGCGCACGACCGGCTGCGGGCGGACGACAACCGCAGCGCCATCTCTAGCCGGAGAGCGGAACTCGTCGTTTTCAGACGTGTCGCCCTCGCTGTGTCGGCGCGCGGCGCGCTGACGTTTTTTCTTCAGACGCTGTCGTTCTGTACGCTGAAGGTCGTGCAAAATAGTCGACGTGCTCCTACGGACAGAAACGTACTTTGAACAGACCAGCCTTTGTACCAGTCTAATGAATCATCCTAAAGCAATAATTGACTCATGTCAACCAGCAATACATATTTGTGAGACTGGATTACATTCAACTTTGCTCCACCCAGGAACCGGCCATCTTACACAATGGCATCTGGCAAACATGGTGACTGGTGGCGGCACCTACGTCAATTTTGTTCCCATGTCTATCCTCCAACGCCCCTCGCTTCTCCCCCCAGCCGAGACTTTGTCGTGACGTGCACGCACTCTGCAACAATCGACCGGCAGCCCACTACACACGCTTTTGCCAACGGCAGCGTAAAACCAAAAGAAGTCATGCATACCACCACATTACTCCTACGGGCTCCACCTGCGCGCCCCCCCCCCCCCCCCCGCACCGCAGCCGGCAACGCACGCCAGCAGCTGCGGGAGCCACCGCGCCACGCCCTCACCCACCTGTAGCGCTTTTCCAGCACGCGGTCGCTGAAGCGGACCGCCTTCTTGGCACGCGCCTCGTCCGCCTCGTCGTAGACGTGCAGCAGCGAGCTGGAGAGCAGCGACGAGCCGGGCGTGAACACCTCGTCCGCCGACGACTCGCTGCCGTACCGCTTCTTCAGGATGCTCTTCTTCTGCGACAGCTGCGGACAGGGCGACGTGGATGACGCTGGCCCGACTGTGACGGGCTGCGCGGCTCCGCCGTTTGTTATAAGTGAGGCACTTGATAGGGGCTGTGACTGCCGAAAACGTTTTCCAATGAAGCAGCTGGCGCAAGAAAGCCATGATCACTACAGTCAGCTTTCCAAGCATAAAAAAACGGAATAACGCCGGGAAGATGCATGTCGCCCTTATGGTCTCGTCCATCCTCGTCCGTCGGCGATGGACGAGATCATAATGCACACGAGGCAGCTATCAATCGTCATCATGCCGTTCACAACAAAACCCACGCTTAAGGTGCAACACACCTTCAGGAATCCATAAAATGGGTCTGGTCACTACATTGAAACGTTCGTCTTTCATGAGAGTTTACCAAGTACAGGACTAAAGGGAGTATGTCATATGTGTCTACTTTTTACCAGTTGTTAGATCACGCGCGTACGACTGGATCAGAAATACCAGTTTTCTCAACCCTTCTCAATACCTTGGTCTCCATTTCAAGTAGGCGCTCCTGCGGGAGAAACCTCATTGGAATCCCTGCTCATCACTATGAATGTAATACATTGAATTCGATTGTTTTTTTCCAGCATGTGCATTCTGCATTGTTTGCAGCACTTACTTGTCAAAATGTTGGTGTAAGTGATGATACGACAGATTGCAACACTCTTTAAACAAAATATATACGAACTATGAAACCATTATTACGCAATTTCAGCGAAACTTTACACTACGGATTTGACTTCTCCCCTATGGCGTTTGCTGCAGTGCCAATTTTTGAAACGCACTTTGGCTTTGGGAAACGGAGTATCACATGATCTATAGTGACGCATTGGTTCAAACTTCGATCAATGCGCCTCTCAGTACCTTGCAACCCAGGAAAACCCTGTGAAACATCCAACAAAAGCCGGCAGATCGCTGATTTGTCTTCGAGCAAGCGTGGCCGGCTGCCCAGTACACGCATAGACCGCGCCTCTGCCGACACGACTGCTCGTGCCGAGCTTGCTCGTCCCTCCTCCATAATATTGTGATGATGTCGGGTGGCTGCGGCGCCATGCCGTCTACATTTTGGCCCGCTTTCGACACGGATTGCGCAGCATTCTTTCCCAGTGCGTTTGTGAGTTTGCACGCAAGCATGCTAATGCCTTGTAAGGACAGACTTTTCAGAATAATCTTCGGAACTCACCTCGTCGACAGACGACTGCGAGGTGACGGAGAGCGGGCCTTCGTACGACGTGACGGAGCCGAGCGACGAGGCTGAGGCACTGGAGCGGGCCGGCGCGCCGGCGGCGGCGGCGGGATCCTCCAACTGAAGCGGCGACCACGGCCGAGTCAGGCGGGACGGCCGGCCGGCCTCCGGCGGCGAGGAGGCCGACTGAGGGACTCACGACCACGGTCGAGGACGACGGTGGCTAGGGGTGAGGGGGCATTGAGGATAGATAATACAGGACTCGAGGTTCACAGACGATTTTCAGGGCGCAGTTGGAGAAATGCACCTCGCGTCATGACGGGTCTTCGATAGCATATTGGGGTCACAGCGTGCTCAAGGTTACACAGCCGCCACCCACACGCGATATGTCCTTCCCCATTCTCTAGAAGCAGATGGCAAGGAGCCTTGCCGATACCTCTGAAAGTGAACCAGCCAGAACAACGAACAATCTCATCCATCATCCACTCGACCGCTGCCAGACTTAAAAAAACTCGTCTGCAGACCGTCTGCTACTCTGTGAAATCTGCCTGTCTGCACAATCAACATCCAGATTTCTGCAACGATCGCAGCCACATGAAAACACTGTCAAGAAGTGTCTGACGTGGGTCAGAGCCTGTTGCGGGAGGCATCTCATTCACGCTAACGCAGCCACGCACGAGCAATGCCAAACAGTCGCACAGCATTCACAAAGCACCGTGTGCAGGCCAGACGCCAGCCCACAGCCCACACCCCCTCCCCCCCCCCCCCCACCATGCCAGACACCACCCACCTTCCAGGGTACGAGCACCTCCGCCAGGGTGCACTCGTCCGCACCGATGTGACAGCAGGCCCAGTCGCCGTCGCGCTTCTCGACGCTTACGGTGACGCAGTCGTCGGCGAAGCGTACGGCCGGCTTGCCGACCTCGGCCGGCAGCGCCAGCCGCAAGCGGAAGTAGAGCGGCGTCATGCCGGCGCCCACAGACGTGACGGTGACGTCGAGCGCCGCCGCGCCCGCGCGCGTCACGCGCACCGAGTCGCGCTCCAGGTTGGGCTCGGTGAGCAGCAGGTGCAGCGACGTGGCGTCCTGCTCAAGTTTGTACTGCGGCAGGCTGTAGAGCCTCGGGGGAGTGGGGCGCTGGACGGCGGAGATGGCAGTGGACGTGGGGGTAAGAGAGGGAACGGGAGCGGGCGTGGGAGCAGAGGCGGCGGCGGGGTCGAGGGCGGGGGGCTCGGCGGGAGCGGGGGCGGGGGGCTCGGACGCGGCCGGACCGTCGGTGTCGGCCGCGGCAGGCTCTTTTTCCACCAACATCATGACACCACCGTCTGCGTCACCGCCGGGCGCGTCGCCCTGGCCGCCGCCGCGCGCAGTCCGGTACGCGTCGTCGTCCGACTCATTCTTAGCACAATCACTGTCGATGCCGCTGTCTTGGATGCAGTCGGCCGGCGCCGGGCGCACGGGCAGCGTCACCACCAGCGCGCGCGCCGAGCGGTCGAACGTGGCGCTGCCGCCCTTGTCGTCGACCGGCAGCGGCAGCACCAGCTCCAGCCGGTAGCGGTGCGCCTGGCCGCTCTCCGAGCGCAGCTTGAGGGTTTGCGCGCCCACGTCCAGGTCCAAGCCGGCTGCCGACGCCAGCTTGGGCAGCAGCACCCGGACCACCAGTGCCTGCGGCCGCGCGCCAGCGCCGCCGCAGCGCGTGGCGAACTGCTGCATGTCGAAGTGATCGCGATACAGGAGTGTGTGCTCGGGCGTCTCGTAACCTGCGTCGGCGGGCTGTGCAGGCTCGGCGGCCGGCTCGGCCAGCGTGAGGTCCGCCGCCTCACGCCGCAGCTTCTCTATCACGGCCTGCTGCAGGGACGCGTCATCACCACTATCACCGGCGGCGGCAGCGGCGTCCGCCCTTCTGCGGCGCACGATGCTCGCCTGCGGCACGCCTTTGTACTTGAGCTTGGGGTAGGCCACCTTGGAGCGCTTCAGGCCGGCCTTGAATGCCTCGTCCACCGCCTGCACGGCAGTCTCCTCCACCAGTCGGCGCATCTGCGGGTTCTTGCCAGCCATGTACAGCGTGTCCGGATGAAAGACGACGTCGTACACGGTGCAGCGGGCGCCCGCCTTGTCCTGATCCTCCCGCGGCCGCGACTGCGCGTATGGAATCGACCAGTTGAGGCCGCGCCGCCGCGGGTCGCCGGTCGGCGCGCAGCTGGGCGCCCCCACGTGGCCGTTGCTGCAGACGTTGATGAAGGCCTTGCCAGCCGCCTCGGTCTGCAGCTTGAGCACGAAGCTGGGCTGCGGGTGGATCCAGGTGACGTCGTAGCCGCGCTCCTGCTCCAGCAGCGCGATCTCCTCCTCGTATCTGTCGGATGACAGCCGTCAAAGGCGGCGCGGATGCACGCCTGGGTGTGGCGCACAGGGCACCCCTGCGCCACGCCACATACGGTAAAACGGCCACAGGCGCCCATGGACCATACATGGAGCATACCGAAAGCGACGCGCCACATACGGTAAAACGGTCACGAGCGCCCACTGACTACACAAGACACATACCGAAAACAAACAGCGCTATGTGCGGGAATGACAACATTTTAATGTTCATAGTCATAGGACAAGTTAAAGTATCGATGTGTGCACTGCTTACCACAAATGTCTCACTTCTGTTTGTCATGCATGCATGCAAACACACACCCACACATATGAAAATATATATGGCCGCCACCTCGGCTATCACACAACGGCTCATTGTTTATCACGCTTGGCAAACCCACACCTGAGAAGATTTATGGCAGATGCCTGGGACCACAAGCTAAATCTCGAGAGGCAGCCAAGGCATTCAGCTCCCATGCATTGTCCTGCTCCCTTCCACTGCAGTGCTCCACCCAACACATTTCATGGGAGATAGGAATGCATGTGTTCCTTGACCAGAGCCAGACTAGCTGGTGGATTTTTCCACACTTTGTACCACATTGAGTTGGTTGCTGTACTGTGCACAATGCACAAAGGGTTGTGGTCCTTGATTCACATGACCAAAGCACTGCAGTCTTAGAACAATACAACATGCTCTGTTTCAAAAATTGATCCAATTAGGTTATTTGAAAATCCCTATGGACTCTTAACTGAAGACTATAGGATTACATATTGGACTGAACATGTCTGGAGTAGGTCAATACCAATTTCAGTGCATAAATAGCCAGCATTTCAATGAATTATGATGTTAATAAGGAAATTTCCTGCAAAAATACTCCAAAACTTGGAAAGAGAAGAAAATTCAGCACAACTTGACCTGACCTGAATTCAGTGCACATACTCTAGCATCAATGCACAGACTTATAGTAAGGGACCAGTGCAACAGAGGGACTCACACTGGCTCTCAATCTTATCACACTGATTAAAAATTTGTCTAAATGTCAGAGGAACCAAGTGTTTCATAACAAGAATAGCAGCCATTGAATAAACATGAAAATAGAGTTTGCTAGGCTGTGGGTGGGCCACAAGCCAATGTTTTTCATGCATGCTTTTGTGAGACACATAAATCAGAATCATTCTGTGCAATGCTCTCCATCAAACATAACATTAGCACAGGGTGACAGCAAGGAATGGAAAAATGATAACAAGTCTAACTTTTACCAAGCCTGCCCCTAGGATTTTTCAACATAGCTGGCCATGGGAAAAGCCATGCCAATATGATGCACAGGATTGTGACATGGGGGGCAGGATGTAAATCATCATGGAAAAACAAAAATTGATGCATCATTACAAATACCATATCTGCTAAGTCTCATCACAAGTAAGATAACTGTTTTCCCGGGCCGGTCTACTCCTTCGATTGTAACTGGCAAGCAAAGCCTATCAAAAGGCACGCCCACGGGGCACCGCATTAGGGTAAGCCGGGAGTCAGTGTTTTAACCCACCTTTTTCGGTTCTCAGGATCCTGTATTTCTTCCACATATTCACCCAAGAGCTTTCGAAAGCCTTCATCTTTCAAGGCCTTCGAGAATTTAGCAAGCTCATCTCCAGTTACATTGATATCTTGAAGCTTTTTACCGGCTCCATGGTTTTGCGATGCTTCCGATGCCATGTTGTTTTTCGTCCTTCACGAATTTTCCATCGCTGCCTGGGGATTGGTCGGAAAGTATGTTACAGTCAGCTGGCAACGCAATGATCGAATAAGATGCCACTAAATTTAAGCTTCTCAACACAATCCGGGCGAAGATATATATATATATATATATATATATATATATATATATATATATAGATACACTCAATCAGTATCTCAATGCTGATTTGATATTGATCATTACTTGAGTGTTTTATTACCTAACAATGATATATACTTAATCAGTTCAGTTCCTTTCTAAATCAATTCCTGAAAAGTTCAGATGATCATCAACGATATATAAACAAATTAAGGTATAAAAGCAGCCAAATTCAACGATGGTGACCAAGCGTCAGGCTTGTACTTCTGAAGGGGTAATGCATAACTGCCTGCATGCGGCTGTCTGTGTCCGCGATGCTCTCCGTCGTTAGATGCTGAGCCGGCCGGCCGGCCTGGCCGGCCCGGTTCGGTCCGAGCCGGTCCGGGTCGCCGGCTCGGATCAGCTTGCCCGGCGCGTCGCGCCGGGGCTCAGCCCTGCGTGGCACGTGGTGATTGGTGCGTGACCACGTGACCCGTGTCGGGGTCGGGTCGCCGGGGCGCGGGGAGCGGAACTGTTGGAGCGGTGCCGGGCGCCTGGTGTTATCACGATGGTGGAGTCCAGTGTAGCGGAGGCTTCAAGTTGAATATGTCAAGAGGTTTTTATGCGTCCTCGGTCAGGCTTAAACCACTCGCATGGCAGTACCCAGTCGGCGCTATCAATTTTTAATAAGGGAGACGGGATCAAACAACCTGCATTGAGATAACTGAGAAAGCATGGCTGAAAAATCATGCATTTCGTAATCGTGTTCTCGAAAATGGTCACTTATACGCAAACTGTCTTAACAAATGTGAAGAATCGGGGGGGCTGATCTGGATTTTTTTTGCGGGGGGGCAAACACTGTTCTTGAAGGATGTCATTTAAAACACCTAGGGGTTTCACAATTATACCCAGACATGCTTATATGGATATAGATATATATATATATATATATATAGATATAGATATAGATATAGATATAGATATAGATATATAGATATATAGATATATAGATATAGATATAGATATAGATATAGGTATAGATATAGATAGATAGATAGATATATATATATATATATATATATATATTATATATATATATATATATATATATATATTTATACATGTGTGTGTGTGTGTGGGTGTGTGTGTTGTGTGTGTGTGTGTGTGTGTGTGTGTGTGTGTGTGTGTGTGTGTCCCTGCCTATCTATCTATCTACTTATAAGACACTGAGGCCTTGACAAGGAGCGAGGAATTCGACTCCATGTTCGTCTGAACCCTTGAGACTTATTTCCCAAGCAGGAAACAGACCGGTGTTTGCGATTTGCAATGTTTGGGGTCCCTGACACAGGTGGGGGGGGGGGGGGACTCCTGCATCGGTCGGGAGCTCCAGTGCTCAACAGGGGTCCTGTGGCGGCAAGTGACCCCGAGTCGGCCGGGAGCGGTGTTTTGAGGGGGCCCGAAGAGGGATCAAAGGTTCCTTGAGACCAAAGATCAGGGGCCCGATTGGACGGCTGAAGGGCCAGAAGGACTGATTGTATGTCATAGTAAGGGCCCGCGTCCGTAGGGTAGTAATTTTGAATGTCAGTAAGGAGCCTCTTGCACCGACTGGGGTCCCAGTTAGCCAGTCAGGGGAAGATTCGCTCATCAGGGACTGTGATGGGACTCCGAATGACAGAGGGCCTCTTGTGTTTGTCGGGGCCGCTGACAATGAAAGAAAACATGGAAGCTTATGATGAATGTTCTCATTGGTGCAATAAAAGTGTTCTATGCCCACCAGGATCCCCAGTCCCGTATAGGCCCGCCAGCCCAATTCCAGCCCGGGCCCGTTAAGCCGAACTGTAGTATATGCGCCAATTATTGGACCACCTCCGGCGATCAGGGCTCCTGTTCCGTCAATGAAGGTTCTTGCGTCAAACCGTGGTCGACCGCGTGGGTCAGAAGGCCTCCTGCGTCAGGAAGGTGGCCAAGGTGGTATGATGCATCCCTCTAAGGGCCTCTGAATAGTCCGGGAGGATCCCACCCCGTGTCACCAGAATGACAGCCGGAAGGTGGTGGGACGGAATGACCCTTCAGCTCTTGACCGGGTACACTAATGTGCCCCCAAACGCTCCATCCAAAGGGACCCCTTTGACGGCAAGAAATAGGGACCTCATAAGGGGTCTCGCTGAGTGCTGAAAAGAGCGGATCGAAGTTTGCCTGAAAACGTTCACTCCTCTTTGCGGAATCGACTAGTCAAACAAATTACATAAGAAGTTTGAACCTGCGCACCCGGCATCTCGGTACCAAGGACAGCGATGGCCTGGGTTGCAGGGTCCGTAAAATCGAAGGGTGTTGGCCAGTGCGTGCAACACGAGGCAGCGGACGCCGTGCGTGAGGGGTCAAACCATTGTAAAATAATGACTCCGAGAGTCTTTCAAAATTAATCAGCACCATTCAAAAACTAGACTGAGTAATTTTTCAGCAGCTTTGAGCGTGTCCCTTGGACAAATTTAAAGTTACAACAACACCCAAAATAGAGATTCTTCTTCTCTTCTTCATTTCCATTACCAGGTTCCAGCATTACTTTGCGGCGCGGTAAAGGCCAGTTAGTTCTTATCATCAATCTAAAAATCGCACGCGTAAAATAAACGCCTGAACTTCCTTCTAAATGTACGATATTATGTGTTTAAGTGTTGAAGGCACTATTTTCAGTCACATCAGCATTTCCGTCTAACCGTTGACCATAGCTTAATGATAGCCGGAGCACCGGTGTCACGCACCTATGGAGGCTGCAACGCCTGGCGCCTAGGCTTTTTGCCAAGATCTGCGGGTGCACACGTTTAAAATTATGGTACATAACTTGTATCTCTTATGGTTTTTGACCAGGAGTGAAAAATTGCGTGTTTCATTGGTTGGGCCGAACTCATGAATTTCTCCGTCCTATTCCGAGACGCATTTCTTCACGAATTCTGTCCGATTTACTGTGCGGTAATGATTTGGACTTAATATAAGAAAAAAGTCCTTCAGCTTTTGCGTTTTCGGTATTATGAGCTCAAAGTTCTTATGTTGAGTCATCGACGCTTGATACGTCAAGAGGTATTGATTAAACGGCATTGTAGTGCTTAACAACAAGTATATTAACGGTACTCAATATTAAGAGCTGCGCTCATCCTCAAGAGCTCATCTGTTCAGGATGACTATGGGACAACAGATAGATGCTTGCATTTTAATTATGTTTCTTCATAAACGTCTCACAGCTTCTGAAAAGCTAAGACACCGATTTTGCAACCTGTTTAAGTTTAAAGACGGATGCCTTGCTGGAGAAGAACCAGCCTCTATTCGGCCACAGCCTCTATTCGGCCTGTCATAGTGGACACCACATATGACCACAAATGGCACCGCTTCGAGGCCGCTCCAGGAGGCTGCGGAAGGACAGCGATTTGAAATGCGTGTTGGGCTACTCCCGGAAGTAACAGCCACTAGCGATAAAGGAGGTATTTCATTGAATGAACTGATGGCAATGCTCCAGAGCTGTCTAAACTTGATGGTCTCATTCTGCTAATAATCGAACAATACTGACATGAATATGCCGTGAGGGCTTATGGGAGAAGGCATGGTCATACCACCCACGCCTTGGGCCACTCATCAGTCACCCCTTTGGGCCACACCAAAACTTTATTTCGAAACCACTTAGTATTCATTTCCAAGAGACACCAAATTACAGGGACACAGCAGAGTCCCAAATTTTTATTTTTGGAAGACACCAAATTCGATAGGCATTATCATATGCATGTCTTGTTCGTTTGACAAAATCTTGGCTAGGGCCAATCGGCAAAGGAGCACTAAAGCCATCCTTTCGGACACCAATATAGCCTTTTTTCAAAAGGCACCCAATTCCAGAGGTGCGTTTTAAAAACACAGCACCACGAATGGCCGCAAACCCTCGTTTTCAAGGGGCACAACAACGCTGTTACTTCCACCCCGAACAAAACCTTGTAACCGTTTCCCAGGCAAGGGTCACCAAAATCATTATATCAGGGTACTATGGCATTTAGTTTGAAAAGGGTTTTCTACGTATTCCACCGTGCCTAAATTCCAGATCAGTTCGTTCTTCGACATTTGGCTAAGTGGCACAAACATTTCTTTCATTTTGGGGGTTATAACCTACATTATTTAGGCATACACCATTCTAAGGACTCATCAAAGCGTACAAACATATAAATTTCTTATTGACAACAAAGGGGGAATTGCAATACACGTGGCGTTCCATTGACGTAATCATAGCTCGGCCCATTTGGCAAAAAGACACCAAAACCTTCATTTCGCAGCACCAAAACATCTTTTACTATAGACAAGTCAAGAGGGCCATTGAAAGGACTCTGAAACATTCATTTTAAGAGACACCACGATTTCTTTGCTTTCCGAATTCTGAATTGACCAAGTTCTGGATCGACCCCTTGCGCAAACAGGCACCACAAAGCGTTCATTGTGGAGTATAATAAACTTCATCCAAATAGGCACCCAATTCCAGGGGCAGCACAATGGAGTCCAAAACGCTTATTTCCGAGGGACAACAAAATTCATTGTCACCCCGCTGTTTGTACCTCCCTAGGGGACAAATCCGGGATCGGCTCAAATGGCAATGGGCCACCAAAATCCTTTTTCGGCAGCCATGACCTTTATTTTTAGCAGGTACCAAATCCAAACGGACCATTTCAAGTGGTCCATCTTCATTTTCAAAGGGCACCAGAATCAGAGGCCAGACAACTTCTATGCCTTCCATCCTGACGAGGCCCTAAGTCGGACCTCTCGTCGAACTGATGCCTTCATGTTCGGCATCGCGACTTGCATTCGGAAGGGGCAGCCACTTCGAGGTAGCACCACGAGGGCGTCCAAATACTTAGATTTCTGGTTGGAGTAAAAGTCCACTGGGCACAAAAGTTGGCCCACTTTTATTTTCACCACAAATCAAGGACATCACTATCGATACGACAGGGAAACGTGACCTTCCTTAGGTACTTAGGTCCCAAGGTCCTGAGTGCCCTTTGGGCCCCGAGGAAACGACGATTAATGTTTCAATCGGAGGGTCCGAAAAGCCGGCCGGGAGGATAAAGCGACGTCAGCCAGCAGGCGACACCGAACACTGTCCCACGCTGGTCTTGGCTCTGGGGCCTTTTTCCCAAGTCGGGGCAGGGTCGGACCTGCAAATGGGAATCCGAAAGCCCGTGTATTGGTCTGGCCACTGCACTGATCAGGGGCTCACAGTGCCCAACAAGGGGCCCCGTGTCAACGATAAGGGGCCCCTTGTCAGCGACAAGGCCAAAGTCGCCCATGGGCACATTTGCTGGACAGGAACAGGAGCGGATCCTCGAATGTCAGGAGGCCTCTTACGTTGATCAGGACCCTCTTGTCAATGACACGAGTCATGAGAAGTGTTGACGCAACGATTTGCACTCACAATGAGACAGGGGCCTGCGCCAGTGAGAGATCGCGGGACCGGAGGAGCGGCCCTCCGCACCGTTTCCACAAGGAAGCAGAGGTCGATAAGCCGAATTGGTGTCTCGGCACCAATTAGGCACTGCACTCCCTGCGACGGCAAGGGATCTTTTTGGATCAATGACGTGCCGTGCGTCGATCCTGTGCCAGATGCCAAGGTCAGAGCCCCCCCCCCCCCCGCATCAGGAATCGGATCAGTGCATGATGCATGTTTCTGGGGGCCTCCGGATCGACCTCGGATAGAGGGCGCCCCAGTCCCTGTATAGCCAGAACAGCAGTTGCTAGTTTCCCGGGCTGGGACCAAAGAGCCCTTCATTTCCTGACCAGGACAATTGGTCACGTGATTTCGGACGTAGACTCTTAGAACGAACTTAGCAGTTACAGCATCGCGAGCAACGGAGATTACGCCACCGCATCATGAGTGCGTGGCACAGTACATGCTAAAACAATATGCAAATACGTACGCCTGATATATTGCGCATTGCGTGTACTACGTAGTACAAGATATGCTTGTTTTGAAATTCATTTCTATGTTATACTAAAACTATCTCATAGTTCGAATGTCTGGCGATTTCATGTGCTGGGGGCGCAGTATATCTAATATCATTGTTTCTAGTACGCAGAGCTCATATGGTTTATACGTCACTCGTATCACGTTCCTAAATAAGAATGTCAGGAAGTTTCGTACTCCTTCAAGACACTCAAACATGCAGCGCAGGATCTGAATATTTCCCTGTTAACGACACAAAACATGTGGCTCCTCTTTCAGGGAGTTGGCCGTATGTTTTATTTCAAAAAAGAATATCGCGTCGAAATTCTACAAATCTGAATAGTTTCGCCGTTGTCTGCAACCACCACCAGCATTTTAATATTCGCGTCGCGCCATGTCACTCGATTGGCATCACGAGTTGGCCAATATGTGCAAGTCATTGTTTTTGCGTTTAACCACTCATTGTGTGGTGTGATGTCCCCCCCCCCCCCCCCCCTCTTACTGCAAGAATGAGAGGCAGCCGTCGCCATATAGTCTCAGAAGCGCTGTAAAACCCCAATCACGCAAAAACATTCACTTTGAGGTTCGCGGTTTACAGAATGCGACTTTTGCGGGTTTCGTTTTAAGTAAGTTATTAGATACTGTGCTATATACATGCCTTTATCTAATACCAAATCAGATCCCCCAAAAATTAGATAATCTTTCCTTTAAAGAATAGGGTATCAGGAGCCAAGTTCCACATTGTAAAAGCCGAGCGAAAATAGCTGCGACCCTAAATACTGGGGGCATCCCAACATTGGGGGGCCCAGCTCAACATTGGTGGACGGTATCCCCCTCCCCCCAAATAGATGCAAAGTTCCACCTCTGATTCTGACTAAATGTTGAACATTTCCAGACTAATATGGCTTGGTCATGTTAACACAAATTGTTGACCCATTTCGATCTGCAATCTACATTCGTGGGGTCCTTTATATCACATTGCAATCCGGATAAAAGTTCTGACAAAGGTTCTGAATAACGCCACTTCAGAAACAGTCCAATGAAGAGTACTAGCGATTTATTTCATGCAGTCGCTTAACGCATGATTTCTTCAGTTTATTGACAATACAGTTCAGGCAGAATTGACCTCGCTGTAGCTTTTGGCCTTTATTCCAGTTGCGGAAGGTAAAAAGGAAAGGTATGAAAGAAAGATGTCGCCATTAACATGCGGGTCATATCACGCGATTTTTTTTAGGAAAGTGGGACTTTTACTATCAGGGGCCTTTCGTCAGCTCTTTGCCCCCCCCCTTGCCAAGGCTCTGGCTGCGCGCCTGCAAGTAGGTACGCCATTCTTCATAAGCAAATGTACGTAAGGTGTAAAGTTCGTATGGCAGAAGTAGTACGGAAAAGTAGGGGCCCATTGGTTTCGGGCCCTACGTTAAGTCTTTGTCTCCCCCTCTCCAAATTCGGGCACGCCGCCCTTGGGTGCGCTTACATGTTTTCAACAGAAAGTTATTACCTGGGTCTTTCATAGGTTTTCCTTGATCAAGCTGCTTGTGAACCGCTTGCGCAGAAATTCAAGGGCTTCCTCCATGACCTTTACACGTTCGCCCAAAGTCCGTGGGTGTCCTGTCCCAAGTACTTTATATAATAACTCACCACACTTCACATAATAACAAACACCCAATATAATACATAAATAACCCACGCGCTGGGTGGGCTGCCTGACACCAGCATGACATTTATGTTCATCTCTAGCTACTGAACAAAATGCAGCACAGTCAATTGTTGGCATTGCCTGTGCGGAAGCCAGCCCAGGAATACCTTACCTAACTCTGGCTTGTACCAGAGACGTCCCACCAAGATTGTCAAGCGCATTTATCATATACATTTGAAACTTGCTGGTGCGCATGGTTATGGTTTCTTTGCTATATGTTGTGGCATTTTGGAATTTTGAACCAGGTATGCATGCTCTATGAATGTTTCTGCAAAAATATAGTTCTTAGATTGATGCGCTATAGATCTCATTTCTTAGATCATTTCTTTAGATCACATTTCTTTCATTCGACATCTTATTTGTGTGCTATATACAGCGCGGGAACCGCATTCAGTTTGCCATCTGCATTCAATACGGTCAAAATTCTCGAACACTGCAGTTCCGCTATGTGGTTGGCGTAAGCTGCCGACAGCCCTACAGCGATTTTGATCCGCCTGTCCTCAGACGCCTCACATTTTGGGGCTGTGCTCTGGGCTGAACGATGAAGTAATGTGGTGTAGAATGCATGGTACGTTACGGGCGTGAAGCCTTCAGCACAGAGGGCATGGTTTTGTGAAACAGGTTTGTGGAGCTGGGCCGGGAAAATAGCCAAACTGCCTCTAAAATACACTAAAAGCAAGTCTCCCCACGGATTTCATCCACTTTGCTCACAACGTTAAGGGTTGGAGTTTCTCGTCCCAGCTGAATAGGAAACTACACCTCTGCTGCAACATGATTCCTCGCGCTGTCTCGGGCCGGGTCGGGTCGGGGGGGGGGGGGAGGAGGGGAGGGGAGATGTCGGGCATCATTACCATTCCGTAGTGCGTCGATGGTCGACACCAGGGTTTCGGTAATCGACGCAGGGTCGGTGTCGCGTGGGCTCAGACGTTATTGGATTGTACGGCGAATTCGGGAATAAAAAGTGTAAGTTGATATCCACGGTTTGGTAGGTCGCCACGGGAACCCTCGGCCGGCAGCCGCAACGTGGACTGCAGTCTGCAACGCAGCATTCGCGCTTGGCATGTTCGACACGGCTGTTCTGGTGGTCACTATCGGTCGATTGCCCTATCGGTTGAGTCGGTTGATGCTGATCGTTAGGTTGGCGTGCCTGTCTTATTGAATACTCACGTCGAAGTGTAGTCTTGCCCATTTCGAGGGATTTTTCGAAAGTAAATGCCTAGTATTTTTTTCTCGTGTTTTTGGTGCAAACGCTCGCCCGGTTTGCTTCCACTGTCCGATAAGATGCCGGGGCAGAATAACGCAGAATGTTGCCGTCTGTAGAGCTTGAAACATTGTCGAATATTACCAAAGCACTCAGGAAACACAAAACTAGACCACGGAGCCATCAAGACATCTGACTGGTGTAATAAAAAACACGTCATATGTAGCAAGAAAAGAAAGGTACTCAAGCAAAACGGTACGAACAAAGATCTCTAGAAGTGTCACTAGCTCAGTCAGCTGAAGTAAGCTGAACATGACGTCACAGTTTGCATTTTCTTTGCACTTCAAGACAATCATCCAAAAAAATTTTTAGAGCCTATATGTGTGATGCTCTATAGGCGGGTGGATGACAACCTCTTCGGTTACCCGCGCTCGGGTGAGGGTCATATAATCCCCCTGAAGGTTTTTCTGGACTTATTTCTGAAAGGCGAGGCGTAGCCGCGTCAAATTTTGCCTTACTGTAGATAATTGAACAGCAGATCGTATGGCATCAAAAACTTAGATGCATCTTGTAATGTCGCTAGCCTATAACAGGTCAAAGTCAGGCCATAGTTTCAGCGAAGGCAATTTCTAGAGAATCGCTCGGTCTGTTCCAATAACGGAGTGTTAGACGAAGCCATACATCTCTGAGATACTTTTTAGGCAACGCAATAATTGGATGCACAAATTACACTCACCTGAAGTCAGGTATTAAGGTCAGACCAAGTTCGAAACCAACCTGTTTTGTTACTCTAGGGCCAACTGCATTGGGTAGTTTCTGGTGCTCATTTCGAATTTATTGATAACAGAAACCGCATTATACGCATTCCATAGACGTCTTAAAGGTCAGAATAGGTCACCGAACTTAAATGACCCAGGTTAACATTTTGTTTTCAAGAACATGCTGCCTAGCGTAATCTTTGCCGCTTATCCAAATGCAAAATTCACAGCAGTCTTGTATGATTTTGGTCACCATAACCTTCTAAAGGTCAGACAAGGTTACCGACCTTAGACAGGCTTGTGGCCCTTTGCTTAGAACAGTTATCTAGGTTCTAGGGGCTCTTTGGCGACCAACCTACAGATTGACCCTGTTCAACCTTATTTTATCCAAAGGTTATCACCTAGAAACTTCAACTTCGACCTGTGAGTTCAGGTACGGGTCAATACAACCTGTGAATTTGTTGTCTCTAGCTCTCTTAGTTCCCGAGATCTCAGGGGGTCAAATTGAACCCCACACGAGCGAAGGGCATCCAACCGGCCACCAGGGCGCGTGCTAAGGGAGCAGTGGGCCCTGGGTGGGGGGGGGGGGGGGGGGGGCGTGACCCACGCAAAAGAATGCGAATCGACACCTGTGTCCAGTACCACAATTTACGTTACACTCTCACACAGAAGCATGCTATGATAAAAACAAGCCACCCTGTAAACCAAATTCCAAAACAAGGTGGACGAAATCCGATTAGAGATGCTGGGGAGGGGAGGTGGTCAGGCTTTTATTCACTTCCCTCCCCCCCCCCCCCCTGAAATTGTTAACGCGATCTCGCGCCTCTGCTAATCTCATCCATGGCCGAAGTCAGAGCCCTTGCGGGAGAACAGTTAGTCTGTCTCCTCCCGTTTGGCCGAGAGGAGCGCTTCGTAAGGCATTTTTATTTGTGAATAAGGTTTACAATACGTGATTACATGGTAAATATATAGCTAAATTCACGCATGATTAGAAAAGATGTCATATAAAATTATCGGCCTCCTTTGGCAGCTGTAAGAATCTTTCACCCTGACTGACCGCTTAACACACTGGATCTATGCATACCAGACCCACGGTTGGAATCCGCTCAAAAGCATTTTTCGCAACCTGCTCAGCGTTCCCACGGCTGGCTAGCCTAGCCGCCCCGCTGGGGCTGACCAATCGACTGACGGCTAGCAAGCCAACCGAACACCAATCCTGGTCCGGTCGACCATGGTCCGGTCGGCTAACCGGACACTAATCCTGGTCCAGCCGACCAACCGGACACCAATCCTGGTCCGGCCGGCCAGCCGGACACCAATCCTGGTCCAGCCGGCCAACCGGACGCCAATCCTGGTCCGGTTGACCATGGTCCGGTCGGCCAACCAGACACTAATCCTGGTCCGGCTGGTCAACCGGACACCAATCCTGGTCTAGCCGACCAACCGGACACCAATCCTGGTGCGGCCGGCCACTCGTTCCCGTGTTTCGAGTTTTCCAGAACAATATAGCGCACGCCCCGTATGCCAGTGGCTGTAGAGCTCGTTATGAGTGGTTGATGAAAAGCAGCCGTGGATGTGGGCAATGCATGGCTGCGCAACCAGCCGGCACGGTCACCATGCCAACCGGCGTGCGTGGAGCGGCGCTCGCGGCCCACTCCGGGAGGCATTGTCGGCAGCTGCAGACGTGTCAAGCTCGGTAACGTCCGTTGCGGTAAGTCCGCGATGAGCACGTCGGTGGAGATGGACGGCGTGGTGGCGCTGATTGGCCTGCTCATGGCCACCAGCTCGGGCGTCCCCGTGCTGGCCATCGTCACCAGCCGCTCGCTGCGGGACCGGCCCATGTTCCAGCTGATCGCGCACATGGCCGGCACCGGCGTGCTGCTGGGCCTGCTGACGGTGCTGCTGGTCGGGCTGCGGCTGCTGGGCGCGCCGCCGCCGCTGCCCTTCTGCCGCCTGCTGATCTGCGCCCGCCACATGTCAGGCGCGGCGTTCGTGGCCGCGCTGCTGGTCGTCAGCGTGGAGCGGTACGTGGCCGTGGAGTACGGGCTGCGCTACTTCGCGCTGCTGACGCCGCGGCGCGTGCGACTGATGCATGCCAGCGTCTGGGTGCTGGCCGCGCTGCTGACCTCCCCGCACCTGGTGCACAGCCTCACCGCCCCCGCTCCCACTCACGCCGTGCGTTGCTCCTACCAATACCACATACCCGGGCACGTCGGCTTGGTGGTAGAGCTACTCATGGGCGTCTCGCTGGTAGCGGTCGTGCTGTTCGTGAACGCGACGGTCGGCCTGCGCGGCGTGCAGCAGGACCGCGAGGTCCAGCGGCAGCAGGCAGCCGGCGGTCAGATGGCCGCCTCCAGCCGCCACCACGCGCTCTTCGCCATCGCCAAGCTCGTGCTGCTCACCTGCGCGCTGCAGCTGCCCAAACTGGCAGTGGACGGTGCCGGCGTGGCGACTGGCCTGCCATTCCCGAACGCAACGCGCTTCACCGGGGTACTGCGCCTGCTGCTGTTCCTCCTGCACGGCTGGGTGCTGGGCTTCTGGTGCCCCGACCTGCGGCGGCGCTACAGCCGGCTCTGGGAGCGGCTGATGAGGCGTACCCGGATCGTCGAGCCGATGCCGGCAGTCCGGCCCCGATGCCGCACCCCGGGTGGGGTGCCACCGCCACGCCCGTCTCCGCCGCCGCCGCCTCCGCCGCTGCCGCTGTCGCCGCAGCTGTCGCCGCTGTCGCTTTCGCAGCTGCCGCCGCCGCTGTCGCCGCTGCCGCTGTCGCAGCTACCGCTGTCGCCGCAGCCGCTGTCGCCGCTGTCGCTGTCGCCGCCACTGTCGCCGCTGCCGCTGTCGCCACTGCCGTCGCTGTCGCTGTCGCCGCCACTGCCGCCGCTACCGCTGTCGCCGCCACTGTCGCCGCTGCCGCTGTCGCCGCTGTCGCTGTCGCCGTCACTGTCGCCGTTGCCGCTGTCGCCGCTGCCGCCGCTGTCGCTGTCGCTGTCGCCGTGCGGCTGTCGCCGCTGCCACCACCGCCGGCCGTTGTAGACGATCTGGTGATGACGTCCCCCAGGTCGCTGCACCTGGACGCGCCGCTGCGACAGGGGCGGCAAGAGGATTGGGACATTCGGTACTGATCGGGGATGGATCCCAAGCTACGTCACCGATTGCGGAACTATATTGTGACCACGTGAGTCATGGCTGTCGGAGCCCCCTAAAACGAATGTCAGTCACCAACATGACTCCTGGCTCACGTACTAAACGCTCCTGTGATAGGATTCTAAAAAAACGAGAAAAAAAACGTGACGCCCGACTCCACTCATTTAATGCAACGACCAACGCGATGTGGCAGGAACCAAGATTTTGAAAAACGCTTAAACTGCACTACTTTGTTTTATTCTAGTACAGTTAGCAGTTGGCACCAACTTCGGAGTGTGGCCTCGAAAACAGACTTTGACCTCTAAAACGTCGTATGCCGGATAGGTTTCTGGGTATCGGAATGCATTTATGCTTCACCACGCCACGGCGCTGACCCGTTGAAAACACATGCAAGGCTTGCAGCGCTCTACGATTCGTGGTTGCATCATTTTGAGATGCATTCAACGTAATTCATACGATTTTCGGGCCGATTCTTCCTGTGGCTGAGGGATGTCTGAAGAGAACTGAGTGTGATGTGCTGACTACTAGGGATATATGTCGGTGAAAGGAAATAAATTTGATCTACAAGCCAGTGTTTCGCGTAGCAGCACGGGGTCAACTGCTCGCGGCCTTGACGGAACCCGGTCGGTGACCGCTCGTCGTTTCCTCCCCCGTGCTCTTTGCATGCATCGGCGTGCTGGGAGGTGTTTGTCGCAAGTGCCTGAAGAATCTCATTCAAACTTCATATCATGGTGGCTGTACGCATTTGGGAACACGGTTTAAGTGTTATCAGCTGCCGGCACAAAACACATCTCAGATTTTGTTTTCAATTTCTCTTCGCCCGACCGCACGGACGGCGCATCACGTGACGCTATCGAGGCATGTATGCGTAAATCACCGGCTGTAGCGGTGATTTGCACATATACGGCGTCTGCATTGAAATCATTTGACCTCCGTGGGGATGGTGCAGCCTTGCGAACACGATGCCATGGTTGGAACACTATCGGCAGGCATTGTAAATTTACCATTCAACGACATGACCTTTGTTAAAATCACCCTGACAGCGTAGAGTTAACGGTGACCAGCAATGTGGCAATGAAACGATACCGCGCAACAAATCCCCATAGCCAAAGCCAAAGATTGTGTCTTGCGTGTTTCATAACACTGGTTTAGAGCTATCAGCTGACAGTTAAGCACACATCACATTTTGAAATAGACTTTTCGGCCGGCCACCAGGCGGCGTATCACTCTATGCCGGTGGGCCGGCTGGAGCGGTGATCCGCACCCATATAGCGACCACTTTGAAATACTTTTGCTTGTGGACGGAAGGCATGACCTTTTCAACCCCCCGCTTGGCAGCACACAGGTCATGGTGACCACCGGCCTTCACGTCGAGTGATGGCCGTAATACGGTGGCCTAGGAAAAAGGCTCATAATAAAAACCTAAGGATGCGACGTGGTGCACTCTATAGCACGAGGTTTAGAGCTATCAGGCGCCAGTCTAACACACACGTCAGATTTTGTTGCTTGTTTTCTCTCGATCGATCCCGCCAGGCTGTCACCCAATGTCGGCAAGCCGGCTATTACACCGATGATTTCCACAAATGCGGTGTCCGATTTCAAAATCGTTTACCTTTGCTCTGAATGTGCAACTTGCGCACGCGATATCACTGTTAAAGCACTATTCGGCCGCAATGAAGTCCACCATCGGCTGACATGTCCCTTTTAGTTAAAGTCCTCCCCTGGGAGCGCTAACGGCAGCGTCGGCCTGTACGTGGCGTGCTGCTCGTGATACGGTGGCCCGGCAGCGTCGGCCTGCACGTGGCGTGCTGCTCGTGATACGGTGGCCCGGCAGCGTGCACGGAATGAGATGGCCGTGATCCAGCGGCCCGAGGACAATGCCTGTAATCAAAGCAGAAGATTGCGAGCGTGTGCACACGATAGCGCTGGAAATTGGGCGCTGTTACTGCTCCTGGTCGTTACAGAGGTAGCTGCTCAGCACTCCCCTCTGTTAAGTGTCGGGGTTACCTAACCAGCTCCGGGAACGTTCGACGACAGGTGGGCCAGAGACCCAATTTATATGAAAGAATGCTTCAGGGACCCAAAATTCCCGCTTGGCCTTTCGAGTGTTTCGAGCCTGAAGGGCAGGTCGAGTGGTCTCCGAGTCACACAGAGCGCTGTAGCCCATAGAGTGTGTGTGTGTGTGTCTGCCCCTGGCGAGGATGATCCCTCTCAATTCAGCGACTAAGGTGATACCGTCATACACCACCTACGCCATACAACTTGTTATTGTATGTGGCACGATTGTGTTAACATTTAGAGATATGCATTTCAAACTGCACACGGAACGCTCAGCAGTAGGCATTTTGAAAATTTGGACGGTTATTTTTTATTTTATCTAGATATTAATTGTACTACATTTTATACGTAATTTGAATAACAACTAATTTCAAGCACAGCACGTGCACAGATGTTTCGCGTTCGTATTTTCGCATACACGTTTAAATTTTGGTACGTTTATCGATGTTGGTACAGGCCTGCACTAAATCTTTAGCTATAACAATATTTCTTTCCCGAGTGCCAAAATTATGGAGAAAAATGGATTGCATTTCCTGCAAGATGCAGTGTCGCGAGGGATTTTCTGCGTTATGTCTGCTGTGTAGAAACTTGTGCGTTATACCTCTAGCGCAAAGAGTAATGTCACACCTGCGCATCATGATGCTCATAGCGAAAGGTTTTGAAGCGAAACCATCCGAGATGGAGATGTTCCAGGCGCTGATGTCTGACTGTTAGCATGTGACATGATTTCTTTTATATCGCCGAGCTGATGGAACTGGACGAAAGCAATGCGGTATAATTGATCGTCGAATGGAAAAACAGTATATATGCAATGCGTGTGGAACGGGTGTATCCTCTATCCTCCATAATGGGAGTAACGTAGATGGATTATCTCCGGTCGAATGGTACTTGACTCCTGGTGGAAGAGTAACTGCACCCCTTGCTCGACATCAAAACAACGTCTGGGCTTTACTCCTACCAGAGCCTGACGCAGCTGGATTTTCCAGCCAGCGTGGGGTAAACCTGCTTACAGTGCGGGCGGTTTTGGCGGCCGGGGCAGCCAAGAGCTGGCGATGAAGGGCCGCAGTGAGACCGCGCTTCAGCGAAACATGGCGACGATACAGGGCGAAGCGTGGAACTGGGCGATCGGGGAAGGAGAAAAATGCTGCAGTCTCAAACAGCAATATAAATGCACTCGCGTTAGCCATGCCAGATACGACTATTAAGTCCTTAAAAAAACCTTTTAACGTTTTATGTACGCCTGGTTTTTGGGAGCTCGTACGGATCAACTATAAGGATAAGCCATAAAGAGCAGTTCCCAGGGTGTACTATGCACACACCCTCTCTGGTCACTTCCTTTTTCTTTGTCCTTGACTGGTCACCTTCATTGCACACCATCATGCAAACGTAAACTGTGTGCAGTGCAAACTGTGCGCAGATTTTCCTGCTGTGTTGCACTTGAACAGCATGATGTCAGTGAAATGAACACAGATAAAAAGTGGAAACGGAACCTTTAGTTCGGTACGTTAGAAGAAAAAGAACACATTTAGGGATTAGCAAGCACTTGCATGCTTGTCTTGCTGCGCCGATGTAAAATTTAGACATTTTAATTGTGTGTCTTTTGCAGTTTGAATCATTGTTCTATGTACCCTGGTTGCCGAGATATCGCGCGAAGTGTGAAAAAGACTCGGCCGCAGGCCGCGCGCGGTACCGGCGGTCTCTGGTAGCCGCAGGCAGGAGAGAGCGCATTTCACCTGCGCTCTCTGCAACACAGCCGAACCCATTCCATGAACCGGGGATTGATCGCAGGAAATGACCGTGGATTTTTCCCCTTTACCAACCGTCAGCCTTTTGAATGATGGCAGCACGCACTGTCGATGTATTAAACAGAATTATATTGTATCGAACAGCGAAAAACGGTCGGTAGCGGCCAAAACAGTTTTCCTGGCTCGCGCACACGTGACGCTACCGTTTATGCCACGCGATTACCCGTTCGATTCCCCATCAATGCATGCTACTCCCGAGTGCGCCCCGTGCCTGAGTGCAGAGATGTGGCACAAAACGTGGAGAACTGTGGTAAAGAGCAAAATCCTTCATGCTAAGTAAAAGCCATCCATCATTACGGCCTTAGGTGCCCTGGTTGCCGGTGTGGTCTGCCAGATCTACGTGCCCCCGGAATGCTCGTGGTTTTATTGAAAGGCTGGCGAAATAAATAAAGTCGAAAGCCAGGCTCGCAAATGGTCATTTCGACCTTTATCGCCCAACATGTACGCCTGGAGCCGGAACAGCAGCCTGCAGTCGTCGCGGCGAAAAAGCCGTCATGCAACCCCTTACTCTAGACTCGCTTGCGTGCGCCATTTCTTAAAAATGTGATCAAAAAAAGAATGCATAAGAGAGAGAATAAATCGGCAAACACGATGAGGTAGTTTTCAACGTTAAATCACGCATAATTTGGACGGTAGTGGCTTGTATTCGGGGCCGATTTTTAAAACTTGGCATCCTTCAATTTGGCCCGCAATTTGCAGCGCAGCGGTGCGTTGCAGAAACACGCGATGCCCACTGAAAATAAAGTCGCTTCAGCTGTGAATGTTGGAAAACAAGTAAGACCTCTACGTGCTTTGTGAGCCAAGATATAACGGTAAACGTGAAAGCCCGTCAAAAACGGACGACTTTATACTGTCACGCGCCATGTGCCGCGTGTCACGTGCCGCAAAAACTTACTCATGTGCGATGACCTATTCCACACGCTATCGCACTGTGTAAGTTTCATGTCGCTGCGACCCTAGGTTGTCGAGATGCGGCTCCGGGAAGCGGAGCGTGTCGGGCCGTCGGCCAGTCGTCTTGGACATTGGAGTCTCCCGTGTAACCCTACGGGATTTTTTTGTTGTTCTTTTTTTTGCTCGGCGCGCACTCATTTTTGCAAAATACAGAATTTTGATGCGACGCAAAAAAGCACAGTCAGTGGATCTCGGTCGTGTGCAAATTTGATGGAAAAATTCCTTACCGTTCGGCCTCCAGATGAGACAACGGACACACACACACACACACACACACACACACACTGCTCCTTTAGTAATGTAGAGGCAGAAAGAAAGAAAGAAAAAAGAAGATGATGTAGTGGCCCAGCGGTGTTTTCGTGTGTGCTTGGTCACTAACGTGCTTTTCTCATGAGAATACACCTGGAAGAGAAACATGTAGTTACCTACAGGAAATAGCATTTAAAGGGTGATCAGCTCTGCCCGCCCGCACTTCCCTAATTATGATTCTCACGCTTAGAGCAAGCTATTATCAATTGTTTTACCTCTTTGGAAGCATGCCGCGGTGCTTTAATTCAGCCAAAAAAGATCACAAACACCTCTTTACCACGCGGGCTATGAAGGGCACAGTGAGTGAATATTGCTTACAATGAAAAGAGCTAAACGTTGCGGGTAGCTATCATCCGCGGCACAGCATGGGGGCGATACAGCACAGCACAGCGTCTTGCATTAGGGATCGGCTTGGGAAAAGATGGCAATAGCCGTTTTCTGGCCGATTACTGACAGACTTGCGGTTCGGAAAAATTTGAATATATTTACGGGTTGTAGGGGGTATATTCGCCTGTACCACAGTGAACTCCCTACACGCCCCTAGATCGCAGTAACCCAAGTAATCCCCTAAAAGAGTCCCTCAACGCTCATGGGTATCTTGACCACCCTGGCTGCCTGCCCGTCGCGGAGGCGGTCTGTCTTAAAGTGACCCGACGTTTTCAGCCACCCGGCGAACTATACAGTTGTTAACAAACCTTCCAACGACGCTGATATCTCTTTATCCTGTAGCATCTCTGAGTCTTTCCGCAGCCAAGCGATTTCCAGTAGCGGAATAGTTCAATGACGTGATGCAAGCAGCCACACGCGCTACTTGTTACTGTACACATATGAACGTTATACACGTATAAACGAGCACCGCCGCGAAGAAATTAGGTTGTCGCGATCTCGTTGACTGTGGCGTCTTCCGCGGTGTCATCAGCAGACATCAGCATCATACACCTGTAAAAGAGCAGCACCAGTCAGGCCATGACTAGGCATGGTCTACCGCATCGCGGTGCAGTTTTGAGTAGTTCGATGCGCACGAAATATTCCTGCTCAGGTGAAACACGATCGCCTCGTTGCAGTCAATTCGTGCAGACCCGCACCTCTACATTCAGCGAACTGTGTTATTGAAACTCGTGTGAATTATGTTTACATGAGTCGTATATTCAGCAGGCAACATAACTCGCACGATCACGCCTCTATGCGCTTTTGAACTATGGTAATATATCAAAACTAGTCTTGCTAACAATAAGGTATTAAACCACCAATGCACTCTCCTTCGCAAAACGTTATTGGCCGAAACCACATGGCAATGGAATAATCTGACAACTGTTTTGATATAATATGGCCCAGATTTATTAGAGCGAAAACCCAGAGTCAGAAACGTCCGCAAAAGCGAATGGGTCAGACACATTTTAATAAAATGTTTCCCATTCACCGTTTTATATGTATGTTATGTGCATATATATATATATATATATATATATATATATATATATATATAAGGTATATGGTTACTGTCAAACAGGCATGAAAGCTGATTGTAAAAAGGATATGGCCATTCGCCACATATTTCTACATCTGAACTGAGAACAATGCTTCACCATTTAGACAAATTTTAATTTGTCTTAATGCATGACAATCGTCGGGTAGTTTATGAACGACACGTAAGATCTAGTCTAAGTGGCGGGCTTTTGGCTAGAGCAGGCTGAAGCTCAGATATAATCCGTACCTTCCTTGGGTTGAGTGGCTGGGTCGTAGGTCATGGATGGATGGATGGATCGAAATTAGTCGCACTGGTATGGGCATTGATGGATGTCACATACGTGATATGAAATGCTTTAGTGGGCGTGCTTCAGTCGTGACATATGAGTTAAGAGTGGTCTCGGGTCGTTGAAGCTGGAACAAAATTGCACTGGATGTGGTCTCCGGTAACCGAGGGGAATTCTGAGCGGCACCAGCAGATGCCGAAGGCTTCCAACAGACGCTGGACGATATTGATGGCCTCAGTCACCCCATATGGGCGGCCAAGCATTCTCGCACGTAATGTCCGAGCCTGATGACATCAGATTGGATTGGTGCCCGCAAGGGCACAGGTTTATGCCGCAAGGAAAACTACTTTTTGCAGTTTGTGTGTGTCGGTTTGCCTGCTTCTATCGGTCAGAAAGATCGCTCCGCTCATGTGATTGACATCATCAGCATGTCCAAGACGCGCCACCGCTGGCTAGCCCACACTCCCAAGCTGACCGGCAGTGCTGCTCGCTCCACCCGTAGCCGGTGCTGCAGTGGAGGATGCGGAGGCAGGCGCAGCGGCACGTCCTTGGGTCCCAGAGCTGATTATGGGCGCATTCGAGCGGCGGTCCCCTGCATCGGCACCGACACGAACGCCTGTCGTATCGCTGCGAAGCACGACGTGTCATCAGTCACGGAGCATGCTGCACGGCCAGCAGCGTCGTGCCATTGGGCAAGAGCGGATGAGCACTAGGGTGTGTCATCAGTAACAAAACCAAGTGAGACAAAGAAGTTATTTGGCGCAAGAGTCCAAAAGTACATAGCATAGCAAAAGTTCTTCCCAAAAACTTAAATTCGTGAGGCGCGAGTCGATCGAAATATCGCCATAGACCAGCGCCCCGCGTTGCAGTCACCCCATGCTGGGCGGCGTCCGCCGCCGCAGGTAACACTAAGCCGTGGACGGCAAGCGACACAAAATAGCTTTGCCTTTGCGTATAGAAATGTTGCTACCGGGCGCTATTTAAGCCGTTGTATGAGAATGTCCCGGTCTAGGTCTAATATGTGGATCAGACATTGCCCGGTTGATTGCCATTTGGCGGAAACTTTATGTGCTGTGGAGTATGAACTCGTTGTACGAGTATGCTGGTTAGTATTGCTTTAGACTTTCACTTCCCGAAGACAACTAACGTGATGCAAATAAAGCTATGCATAGCATATGACTCAGAATATATTGTCTGGTGTACAACTTAATACATACAGCAAGCTCTGCAGCCTGTACCACGAACGTAGAAGTGGGCGCGCGGTAGGGTGACTCCAAGCACATCTTGCTCCTTGCCGAGCCTGTGTATTCGATGCACCGGCCCAATCAGCAACTACTCACAGACTGGAAACCCAAAACACGTCTTGACAGAGATCGCACAGTAGCAGAAATACCGTCGCAGCTGGGCTCCACATATTGCCGAAGCTCCAGCTCCAGCCGCAGACGTCCTCGGCAGTGCGGCGCTGCGTCGCACTCCTAGTGTGAACCAGATAGGCAAGATGGTCAGCGGTGCCTGCACTTTGTTCCGCAGCATGCAGTCGGTGAGGTCTCGCAGTAGAGGCTGTGTGACTGGTCCGTGCCAGGGAATCAGTTCGGTGTACCTCACGGCCTCGAGGTTTACCGCTGAGATGGCGAAGACCCTGGCCTGAAGAAGACCCTCGGTTTGCTGCTCACGAGCGGCGCTACGATCGGAACCGCCTAATCGCGGACCATGCGGTTCTCCTCCCACACCATGTCCAGCAGCAGCTGTTCCGGACGGACCCAGTACCCGCTACGCTGGAGGACTATGTGTGCTGCAGCAGGTCGCGGAGCACCGCGATGCTCCGGAACAAGCTGTGCAAGCCAAAGGCGCAGCCGCTGTTTTGCCGGATGGCGGATCATACCGCCACATCGTGGCCGACCACGCACTGGACGGGGTCCTTGAGAGGTCTCGATAGAGGTCTGAGGCTGATGGATAGAGGCTGCTGGAGGTCTCGGTAGAGATGTGAATTAGGAGCAGGCAAGCGGCCAGTGTCAACCATCTGAAAACAAAAGCGAATATATTGGAACAATTTGCTACGAACTGAGCATTAGATCATGCAAAAATGATTCTGCCTCTTTAGGGTATGCAGTTATGCCGATGTCCAGCGTCCTTAAATGTGACGGAATACATATCAACAAATATGCAAGTAAGCATGAACCAACCAGCAAATGATGCGACCTAACACGGCACAAGGTATGATAATAAGTAAATACTCAACAGTGAGCACACGAAATATCAATTAATACTTGATGAACATTAAACCCTCATTGGTATAAATTCAAGGATAATGCGTTTTCATATTCACCTGACATGGTTCGATGGTCCGATTCGTCGCTGGGCCGCCACATTTCAGACAGAGCTGTTTTGAACGCCGGAGGCCAGAAGTTACAGTAGCTGCTGGTTGGTGCTCAGCTGCTGAATCAGTTCGGCCGGCAGGTTTGGCACGGGCTCGGACCTAGGCTTGAATGCCACAACGTCCCTCTCCTAGACCTCTCCAGCACAGGTCTTGCCGATGGGTCCAGACAAATTTCGATCCCGTGGTCGTGCCATCAAGGCAGACGGAGGAGATTCAGCTTGTTGCCGTGCAGGTGAACCAGCGTGCGGGTGACTAGGTGGCCAGCTCAAACAGTCGGAACACATCACCTATCGTTTCGGTGTTGACGGCCGTGCCATCGCAGCCTAGCACATTGATGCAACCATCGCACTGAGGGCTCATGGAGTGTAGCTCGTCGAACAAAGGCAGGGCGGTTGCCTGGCTCAGTGATGACAACCACGTGTTTTTCGACGGCATTTGTCTGGCTCCGTGCGGCTCATATAGTTCCTGCCTTCTCAGCCGTCTGAGTAGAAGATGGTCAAACCTGACCCATGGATTGCTTCAAAATTTTAACGAGCCGTCTCCTTTCTCGCTCTGTCTCTTGCGCAGCAGATCTTCTTAGGATCTACGATACTTGATTTCAAGTAGCCAGTCCGTCTCTGCTGTCTTGTTGAAAGGCGTTGATTATAGCAACAGCGGCCCGGTTCAAGCCATCGTAGCTGTCAGCCGCCAGAGTGGTGTTAGTCAGATCGTTAACGCCACAATCTACAGTGGCAGCGGTCTCAACCGGAGCGAACAATCGGTGTCGTCGCCACTTTCTACCATGTACGGAACCGTGTAAGAATCCGTGCTCTTGGCTGATTCGTCAGTGCTAAGACCACTTGGTCCCGGAGCAGGCTCGGGGTCAGCACTAGCAGCCAGCGCTGGCTCAGCAGGCGGCGAGGGCTCAGCAGCCGGCGGGGAAGGCGACTCAGGTCCAGCAGCAGACACCGCCTCACTGGCGGCCGAGCCACGACGCCCCGGAAGTTGTCTGGCCATCCTCAGCACCTCGCGAGCCTCCCTCGTCGCAAGCGTATCCCGGCCATATGACCCCAGGGTAAGCTTCCGGTGCCTCCAGTGGCCCTTCATGGCAACCTCCTCCTGATACATTGTGCAGGCAACTGGGCATGGAAAGCTGCACTGAAGCTTGCACTTGCATTTCGCGACATCGAGAAGCTTGCTGAATTTAGTGGTGGCCGCGTCGCTGTGTCACTATTTCTTTGATTTCTTACTGATAGTTCTGTTGGGATGATATCAATCCCCATCGATCAACTTTTTCACCCAGTTTAGATCATGGACAGGGATCGCTTCGTTGGTCCACAGTTCCCTGATTCCTCTTCGATTCGCTCAGCCACCTGATGTAGCTCAAGGCTTTCCCGTAGTCGGTAGTTGGTGGTGGGATAGTGGAGCCGGGTGGCCTATCACAAAATGTTTTCTGAGCGACCGTGTAGCCTTCGACATGCTTATGCAAGTAATTGTTCGAAAGAAATGTTTCAGTACCGGCAAAATTAAACTAATAAACCCATATGTTCCACGCAGAAAAGCACATAAATTGCAAATCAACATCATAATGATGCGTTAGTAATAACAAACTTGAACCCAACCTGGTCTGCTAGAGCATTATCATAACTGCACAGCATTGGGTTTTACCAAACATTAATGTTTCTTACTTAAAAGTCAGCTTAGATGCTGTTTGGCAATACTTTGCTGGTGCTCTTCATGACGCCTATTTCATACTTAATCCACCAAGTACCGATAGTGTAGAAAGTGGCAGCTTTGAAGCGTGTTGAATGATGATTCCAGTGCGTAAAATAGGTGGCGATAGTATCGAATACGGTTTTCGTGGCCTGTCAAAGAAAAACTACTCTCGACCCACGAATATTAACATTGGTGCGGTGCGACAGACCCGAAAGTTTGTCATTAATCCGTGTGCCATGGAAAAACTTCGTCTCAGCCGATTCCAAGAGGTTCACCCCCTCGATGACACCCTAATAAGCATAGATGCTAAAGTGCGCAAAACCTTTTCTAAAAAGCCTCTGTGCTATGTGTAAACGAGCTTTTCCACTCCCTCCTCCTCGAAGATAGCGCCGTGGATACCAATGGCCCAGAAGATTGCAGCTTCCATACATGTGTGCTTACTATGTGTTGTGAGCACGCCCAGCTGGCCCGGCGGCACAGCATGCTGTCCCTGCCGTGTCGCGGCGCGGCCTCGGCCGCACGGTGGAATGCGGCTGGTGGAATGCGTACAGTCCGCCGCGGGCGCTGACCGCCGTCCCGTGGCGGACTGTACGGGACGCTTGATAGGTGCGTGTATGCGAGCTGACTTATGACCGGTAGTTCACCCGAACTAAATGTTATGTCGTGCCTGCCTGGGATAGCAGGGGCAGGACGCCACGGGACTTGGTCCAATACAGACCGCCGCGTCGCTACACGTCTCTCTGACCGAGCTGAGCCGAACCGCTGGACGGAGACATCACACTATGGATTCCGCATTTTACACTGATATCCATCGAAAGTGAACTACAAAGACTGTCGCTGCCGTCAATCACTCGCGTGGCACACCGGAAGGCTACGGTCATCTGAACGTCGAACGGCATTGGCCCCATTAGCCTCAAGGCATTGTGTCAAATATGTATTAGGTTTGAACTGAAATGGCCATCTTGAAGATAATTCTGTACCGATCACAGCCCGGTCCTTCTTAAGATCAAATCCTCTCTAGTTCCTGAACTACTCGCCCGCGAAGATTGCAGACTTTTTCGGAGAGACCGTTTCAAGGCCACCCAGGTATCCATGACGCCATAATAATGGCATTCAAATCCTGCTAATTTTTAGCCATGCGGTGATCAAGGTCAAGAAAAATATGATTGTGGGGTCGTTTATGTCTGGCGTTCGTGGGCGCGATTTCCAGATATAACAGCCGTCAATTGGCACTCAATGTTATGTAAGGCATGATGATATTATCAAACCATGACGTGTTGAGGAGCATATTTACTCAACAGACAGCAAACTGTTATGCAGAGCAGCCTTTCCCACTCAAAAGTGTGTCAATAGTCATAACTGAGCCTTTTCGTAATATCTCATGCTTGCTCTAGTATCTTCGAATGTGGAAGCACACCTAGAAACTACGTCGGGAAGCTGTTCTAGACGAGCAGCTGAAATGAAATGTGATTAGTCGCTCTACGTTGGTGGCATAAGATGCATAGTGACGACAGAAAGGATGAAATATTCTAATTCGATTCGTAAAGAGATGCATTTATGTTGTTCTGGTTGAGCTTGAGGTGGATATGTGGGCCGCGCTGTTCTACTGCAGAAGCAAACCGCAGGAGGTGCAGATGGGAGGGCAAACACGGCAAAACAGTTTTCATGCGCAACAGTTGATGTAACAATTTGCAAGACTTATGTAAACATCAGATCTATGTAAGCCCTGACGTTTTTTCCGCAACTTAGCATGATCGTGACGTCACTGGTTCTTTGTCGTGAAAATCATAAGACAACCAAAGTGAGTTACAGTTGTTATGTTCTCGCTGTATCGATTGTTCAGATTATGAGTCCAGCTCAATTACGAAACAGGACACCATACGAAAAACGCAAATTTTTCCAGCCCAGATTTTAGCTCAAAACGGGGGGCCTCCTAGTTTATAATTGGGTCTCGTGCCTCAAAATGGAGCGTCCTAGTTCATGACGGGGTTCTCCTAGCTTATTACGGGGTCTTCTAGCTCAAAGTGGATGGCTTTTAGTTACAAACGGACTTCCTAGTTGATCGTGGGTCCTCCTAGTTCATAACGGTTGCCTCTAGACCAGTAAATAGACCCCCGAACACAAAACAGAGCCTTCTGATCTGGATCATGAGCTTCCTTACTAAAAAAGGGCCGCCTCAAGATTCATAAAACAGGCGTCTTGATACAGAAAAGGGCCTTTTGAGCTTGATTAATACCCTCTAGCTCAGCTAAAGTACCACCTCGATCGGAAGCTCGGTAATTCACGTAAGTCTTTGCTTGGGCAAAAGGGGCCTCACAAAATTTCGTGGCGGCAAAAACACACCCTTTCCCCGCTGCTTGAGAGCACAACTGCCCGCTCTGCCCCCCCCCCCCCCCCCACACACACACACGGCTGCGTCGCTCCTACTTGGGAAGGACCACCACGTAAATGAATCATGACACTGCATCTCTACACACGTTGCAGGCATTGGCCGGGGAGTGGAGGCATGGCAGACTACTTCGCCTCGCTCACCTGTATGAGAGGGTTGCAGTCAGTCTCTTGAACCAAACAGCCACAGCGGCAGTCCACGTCCTCCTGCACGTACAGCGTGGAGCACCCCATGATGCGCGAAGAGAAGCTGACGACCTGTTGGCGTGGTAGAGTCGCGGTTGCTGCGGTTTTTGGACGGGCTTTGTATAACGCACAGGATGGGCAGTATCGCTTTGAGTCAGCTGTTTCTGGAATCACTGCTTCATTTCACAACTTGTGGGACTTTTTAATCTGATTGTTTACCTAAAACATCCCGAGGACGTTTGAGCGCGCTGACCAGACCCACAAAATTACGAGCAGTTCCTATTGAAACGTACAGAAAAGCTTTCAAGAATTCAGCTACAAGAAAGTTTTCAAAACCAATCTTATCATTGTACGGCCATGGTTTCTCTCATGATGAGCCAATATGATGTAGTGCAAATGTACTTGCCAATGAAAGAGTCCTTGGCCAAGGAACATATCATAATCTGGATGGTCACGTTGTGAAAAAGCGACAGCACCCTGTCAGTGAATATATTAAACATAACCAGCTTTCTTTATTTCCATTGCACACATGCCATAAGTAAAGACCCGTGCAATTCATCCAATCCTTTTTCCCACCAACTGCACCAAAACGAGCAAAAAGTTGTCAAACACAGGGGACGCCTAACGGCCAGCCGAGTGAAAAGACACCGTACGTGCGCGGTTCTTGTGTAGTATACGCGTTTTCAATGTGATGCGAAATAAAATTTGTACGATTGGGTGAGCTGCAGCTAGGTCATCGCGCCAGCAAAGCCACTTTGGTGGCCTCTAATTGATAATTTTTTGGCTTATCCGCTTCGGTGCTCCTACGACTTTCAGGAGCTCTGGAAGGCAATAGGTATGTCATCATGGATACTGCCCACCACCTTTCATGTCCATTTCACGCGGTGAAGTGATCGAAGCGCATTTGAAGATCATGACACCAAAGTCAATATCTTATTCAGACGGCTGTTCTTCTTGGAAACATGTCCCCCATGAACACATTGCTGTGAAAACAGTCTCTTTCAAAAACCCGCACGATGTTCTAGCTTCTTCCATTCATGAAATAACTCAGATCTCATAAGAAAACTCGAACAACCTCTACAAGCCACTTCACGCTCCACCGCAGCAAATTAAGACAAAGGGTCATCAAGGCACATATCTTCACACCCCAGCGCAATCCATTTTGAAATGGTAATTCGTTGACAGGGCTGCAGCTAGGACTTTCTTAAGTGTGTGTGTGGGGGGGGGGCGGGGGGGGGGGTGAGTCCCGGAGTTCAGTGTGCCCTCATTATGAGAGAAGCGAAGGAACCGTCCATGGCGCTGAGGAAGAAAAAGGCAAGCTTTTATGGGGCGCCCCTCCCCTCCCCTCTTGCTGCGCCCCTCTCCGCTGAGTGCAGAAATTTCTTACCGTTATTGGCTTCTCTCTTACAGTCCTCGGCATGCAAGAATGTGTGGGATGGCCACACCATCCGCTGCATCTCTTCACCACCACCACCCACGGCGAAATCTGAAACCGCCGCCGTGGCATCAGGGACACTCGAAGCATCACCACCTGGTGCATCACCATCGCTCGGTGCAGCACCACCTCTTTCATGCGATCCAATTCTGAGTGGATGACGAGATTTGCTGTGCGATTGCTAATTCCGCAGAGCAACAAACTAGGTGAAATTAAATAAATCCTCGCCCTGATGGGCGTTCAATGCTCCCCCGCGCTTTTTTAATATCTCCGGCATGTTGTGCAATCACGGTCAAATTTTCAGAAGCTCATGGGCATTTGACCGCGCGTGTTTTGACACCAGGTGTCAGTGGGGCTTTACGACGCACTCAGCTACTGCGGCTTTATGGCATCGACTGCCTCTCACTTTGGCAGGAAGGGCGGGTACCGCGGGGAATCGAACCCCGTACTTCTGGTTTTCCAGATGCGCAGTGGTTAACGCGGACGCAATAACCACTACACTACCGGCACCCCGTTTTGATACCAGAAACATGTTCCTAGCTTCTCTGATTTCGGAGCAGCGGCGGTCTTTCGGGAGCACTACGCGACGATCTACGGCTTGTCGCGGCCGGCGGGCGGCAACAGACGATGCCGTGGAACTCGTGCGGCGGACTGACATTGTTACATTGACAGGGCCATATATCAAACACATGTGCTCAAAACACGTAAAAATGTACTTTTTATGCTTAGAGTTGAACAAGAGACACGCCTGCGTAGGTTTCGTGCCGTCATAAGCTGTGGCCCGTATGTATTATGTTGTAACGCTGAAAAAGTGCGCTGTTCTGGAAAATTTGACGTTTGACCACGCATAAAAGGGTCAGTCATTATCCTAACAGCACAAAAAGTACTACCAATCGTGCAATCGCATTTATACAAATACACAAATGTTTTCCTCTGAGCCCTATCTTTATTAATTTGAAAACATCAGGGAGTCGCATCATCCCCCTTACCAGTGTGTTATGAGAAACGGCAAATCAGGCGAAAGTTAGCTTTTCAAATATGACAGCTGTAGTAAGTATAAGTATACAAAAACAGTATGACACTGCACTGACATTACACGCGACAGTTGGGGCACTCCACGACAAGACAATCAGCACATTGCACTCTGATGCCTTCAAAAATCTGATATTGGAATGGTGTGGTAGCCTTGGGCCGCGAAGGTGACTGCGAATTTTAGACCTCCCTGCGCGACGGTCTCCGGATTAAAATCTTGGGTATTTTCGAAATATCATGCCGCAGGCCCATCTTTGGCCGTTAATGACATGTAGCCGGATGATCCGAATAGATATAAAACTTACATGTTGATTAATTCAGCGTGATGCACGGGATATTTAAGCAGCCTCCAATTTTCCAAGTGTTCACTTTTTGGCCTCGTTAACTCCTGACTTTTCTTAACGTGATATACCTTGAAATATATGACAAAGCATTGTTTTCTAAACAAGCTCAAGTTAACTCGCCTGCACATTATATATATATATATATATATATATATATATATATATATATATATGTGTGTGTGTGTGTGTGTCAAGCCTTGAAATGCTTTTTTAGCTTGGCAAAGGAACGTATAGATGATGTTGAGAACGGTATCTCCGGATATATCCGGACTGAATGCGGCTGGATGTATAGAGATGCAGTAAACGGAATTCGATTGAATGCACGATTCTGAGCAAGAAATCTAGCCTAGTGTTCGCGAACCGTGGTTAGAAGAAGAATTTGATTGTTGTCTCAGTCACATTTTCCTGAGGAACTTAAACAATGACGGGCTCCTTTCTAAGAGAAATTGATACACCGACCGAACCTCAAGTTCTCGTAGAAGAGCAGCGGCTTCAAACTGTTGTGGTGCCAGGTGTGCTTTGCTGTACTGCCCATGCTGTCGCCTCCAGCATCATTCGCTGGAGAAAGACTAACTCGACAGCGATGTCGTCTTTCGTGCCATGAAACATGCAGCAACATTTCTGGACCAGTACGCCAGCTCTACCGATCTTCACGCTACCACAAAAATGACGGCAGCGTGGTGCACCGCGACGCGTTCCAATCAAACACCTGGGCGGTGTCCACTACCACAGACGAACAACTTTCTGCGAATCACCGTGGGTTCCCGCCTCTCCAGCCACCAAAGATTCTTCGTGCCGTGGATAATACGCAGCCAGCACCTGGAGCCGATGGTGAGGCGTGCTCAGCTCTGCTCCTACCGGCTCAATGACCTGCGGCAGTTGTCTCAGCTTTATACGATATCCGCCAGCGCGCATCTGCCAGTGCTACCTCCCTCCTCGCAGCGGATCCTATTATTGCTGGCATCCCCCTTATCGTCCTTTCGGCGTGGGGGTATCGTGCGAGTGAAATGTCTTCGCCGCTTCACAAAGAGAAGTGCAAGTGGAATGTCTTCGCCGCTTCGCAAAGGGAAAGTGCAAATGGAATGTCTTCGCCGCTTCGCAAAGGGAAAGTGCGAGTACGATGTCATCGCCGCTTCGCAAAGGAAAGGTGTGAGCGGCGGCATTTGTAACACGGCAAACCGTTCAGTGCCTTTCAGCTCGTTTCAGTGAAAAGCTCGCCAACGTTTCAGAGTTTCTTCCCATGAATGTTATATTTATTTCGTACGATTCGGATTGTCTCAATACAAGCCACAGAATGTCAGATAGGCCCGCAAAAGGGAACTGTTCCGTGCCATAGCTGGGTGGCCGTTGCTTCGAGAAGTTTAGGAATGGCTCAGCTGTCCTGAAGGAATAACAACACAACAGGAAGTCGGTTTTATGTTTTTGTTGTTAAAAAGGTCAGAGCGTAAATTTGACATCTCTTATTTTTTCGTGAATTTCCCTAGTTAGACGGACCAGGACCAGGACCAGGACGAGGGTAAAGTTACTTAAAGTGCCTGCATCGTCTAATCCATCTGCGGAAGAATAACCAGGGGAAGGGAGCACTATGGGTCCAGTGCTCCACCACATATCTATGGGAAAACAGTTAATGCGTGGGATGTGCAGGAATTAAAACATGGCTTGTTATCATCACCTGGGGTAGCCACTACAATAAGCATGATCATTCTGGTGGTTACTGTCACCAGCACGGCTCATGCAGTGCTAACCAATGCTGCAGCCCAGCCTAATACCTGGGAGGGATGGACGTAAGACAAAAGAAAAGCGACATCCTCTGCGCGGTCTGGAGTGTCGCAGCAGATCCCCACGGCATTCCAGACCTTCAGCCACTCCTCGGTCTATTCCATCCCGACCTCTTCTGTTGGAATCAACTGAACCAAATATCTGTGGTCGCCATTTCACGCGCAAGTTTGGATTGCTAGTATGTTGGGCTGAAAGAAGAAAACACATAGCATTTACCATAGCATTTTGTCATTCAATTTGAAGAGAGTTCAAGCTCCATCTCTACAGTTGGTTTAAACTGTCTTGATTTATTTTACGTTTATGTCGTTTGTCTAGGATGTAACATTGTGATGTCCATCACATCAGCACACATATTAAGTATGCACATTTTACCTTACCTGACTGAGTCCTTGAGAATGTTCTAGGTGAACAGCAGTTAACCTCGGTCTACAACGACAGGATACCAGGAGGCCAGAAACACTCCTTGTGTCCGTTTTGGAGCATTGCCCTGAAAAGCACACACACGATGACGACGTTAGCACTTAAATAACTGCAAACAGCGTCGTGGGTATCATTGTGATGACTCGCAGAACTGAACGTTAATAGTGTCTCACTTAATTAGAGGAGGAACAGCAATTGTTGGCTAGGCACTGGAACATTGCGCAGCCTGAGCCGGCAAGAAGTGGTAACGGGCGGATCAGAGGCGGATCAGAGGCGGAACAGGGGCGCGTATCCGACTGCTGCTCTAGCCATCACAAGGCGCATATCCGACTGCTGCTCTGGCCAACACAAGGCGCATATCCGACTGCTGCTCTAGCCATCACAAGGCGCATATCCCACTGCTGTTCTGGTCAACACATGGCGCATATCCGACTGGCCAACACACCGAGGCCAATAGGGACGGAGCCTGGGCGATCATGGGATCACAGCAGGCCAATAGAGGGAACCGCCAACAAGCATAGGGTTCTCAGAGCAAGCGAGAAGAACGCAAGACCAACGTGGTGGTCCGCTAAATGATCGGGAGCGCCCCGGCAGGCTGACATATAGCGCCACGGTCAGAGCGCAGGGCCCTTTGAACAAAGGAAAAGTACCCAAGACGTAAACTGATATACCTGAGCGATCAAGAGTGATCGGGCAGGTAAACCTGCGCCCGCCCGGTGGTCTGAAACGGCCACGTCCGGTTGGGGAAGTTGACCTTCGCCTGGGATCTCCTAATTTCAGACTCCGTACGAGAGAAACAAAGACACCATTGTCAAATGTCGATAAATAGTGAAGAATACAGCCAAACAGTTGACGCTAGGTCGAAATTTGGGGTCAGGTCAGGTCACCGTCAGAATGCGGTATACAAGTTTATAAACCTATCCAAAGTTTATTACCCAGATTTATAACCCATCCAAATGAAAGATTTGAAGTCGTGAACGGGTCTACGTGAACAGTACAATGTTCTTCTGTGGTCAGAAATAGCGTGTTCTACATCTACTGGCACTCATGATTTCATTTGTTGTGCACATTTGTGCACACGAACTGTTGTGCACATTACACATAGTCCCTTCGACGCTTGGTAATGTATCTGTAACAAGCTGAGAGCAGGCGCGTTGGTACATAAAATCATACGTCATCAGCTTTACAAACACGATGAAGAGGTGGCTGCACCCGTCGTACTCTTTCATCTAGCCTCTCCACTTCTGAGAATGTAGGTCATATTCTCATATAGGTCGCATGTGGGTTACCTTGTTCACCTTTTTATTTCATGTAGGTTACTTGTGGTTACTCATATAGGTCACATATAGGTTACCTTGTTATTTGATACTTGCGTGATCTATAGCAGGCTTTTCCACTCAAAAGTGTACCAATAGTCATAACTAAGCTTATTTCAAAATGTCTGATGCTCCCTTCAGTATCTTCAAATGTGCAACATTCCATCTCACAGAGAGGACCTGACGAGAATGAAGAATCCCCCGCAATAGAGATCAAAGAAAAAGAGCCCCAGACCAATGAAGAGCGTCCCTGAGCATCGAATGGCCCTTCGCCTTGCCTTATATGAGCCCCAGCGACAGCATAAGGCCTTCTGAGCAAGTGGATAGAATCGGAGACTAGTATGAAGGCCCCTAAGCAACTGAGTGCACCCTGGCATAAAGGGCTCCGGCAAAAGCATGTACAGCCTTTCGGGCGAATGGAAAGAAACGGTGCAGGGCCCCTGATACATCAAGAGTGCCCAAACATGTTAGCAGACAGCAGCGTAGACCCTACGAGAAATCGAAGAGATCAAGGGAAAGTGGAAGATTCCTCACCGATGGGATTTATCCGGAAGTCAACATACAAGCCCCGGCAACAGCGTAGCGCCTCTGGACAGCGTAATGAGCGTCAAAATGCCCCCCCAATCACCACCCGATTAATCAGCGAAGAATTAGCTTTGCTTGTTCACGGGCTCTTCACTCTCGCTTGCGACTGTTCTTGGTCGTCTGGGGGCCCGAAGACGTCCAATTTTGTTGTGCTTTGTGTTAGAGAACTGCGTCCATTCGGCTGGCCATGGGCCCCTTCAAAGCCCAGGTCCCCTCGAGACAAAAGCTGGCATGGTTTTGTGCCCCCCCCCCCCCCCTTAATGGGTCACTGGCCCAAGCGACGTAAAAGATAATGCCGCGACAGGGACATGGTGCCATTCATTCAAATAAGAAGCATCCGGGATACAATGTGAAGGGCCCCCGAATGATCGAGTGTGCCTGAGCAGGTTAGCAGATGGGCCCCGACAACAGCATAGGGCTCCCCATTCACATACGAAATACCTACGGCACAATGTAGAGGGCCCGCACGATCAAGTGAGCCAGAGCAGGCCAACGGATTGAGCCCCCGACAGGAGTGTAGCACCTCCATTCAAATAGGAAGTACACAGGACCGAATGTAGAGGGACCCGAACGTCACAGTGTGGCCGAGGAGATTATCAGATAAGGCCCCCGAAAAGAGTGAAGGAAACCCCTCCTCTTATGAATTACCCATCCATTTAAATAACAAGTACCTAAAACCCAAGCGTGGAGGAACCCCCAAAGATCGAGTGTATCACAACAGGCTATGAAATGGTCCGCAACATGAGCGAAGGGCCCTGCATTCGGTGGCCCAAATTCAATGCGCAGGGCCCCCGAACAAACCAATGTGCCCGAGCAGGCTGACAGATGGGCCCCGACAAGTGCGTAGGCTATCCATTCAAATAGGCAGTACCCAATACCCAATTTTGGAGACCCCAAACGACCGAGTGTGCTCAAGCAGGTTAACAGATTGGCCCCTGACAATAGTGTGAGACCTTAAGCACGTGACAGAGAACTGGACGGACCTGGCCCAATGTAAAGAGCCTATAAGTATACCGTGGGTGCGTCGGTAGGTTAACCGAGACCAACGTAAAGGGCCCCTGAACAACCGAGAATACCCCGGCAGGTTAACATACGGGGTCCCCGGCTATAGAGTACAGAGCCCTTCGGACGAACAGACAGAATCTGTGGAGGGCCCTTAATTAATAAGAGTGCCCCGGCACGCTATCAGGAAAAGGGTGTCAGCAACAGCACAGACAGGATCTGTGGAGGGTCCTTAATTAACAAGAGTGCCTCGGCACGCCATCAGGGAAAGGGTGTCAGCAACAGCACAGACAGGATCTGTGGAAAGCCCTTAATTAACAAGAGTGCCCCGGCACGCCATCAGGGAAAGGGTGTCAGCAACAGCACAGACAGGATCTGTGGAGAGCCCTTAATTAACAAGAGTGCCTCGGCACGCTATCAGGAAAAGGGTGTCAGCAACAGCACAGACAGGATCTGTGGAGAGCCCTTAATTAACAAGAGTGCCTCGGCACGCTATCAGGGAAAGGGTGTCAGCAACAGCACAAAGCCCTCCGAGCAAATGCAAAGAAATGAAGGGCAACGTAGAAGGCTTCTTAACGATCGGATTGACCCTGCACGGGGATATATAGGGCTCCCGGAAATAGGGTAGGGCCTGTGGACAGCGTTAGGAGCCTTAAACCTCACATTCATCACCCTCTCAATCAGTGAAGAATAATATTTCTGCTCGTGGGTTCCTCAATTTCCCTTGCGACTATTGTTGGTCGCCTGGAGGCCCAAAAGCGTCCAATTTTGTTGCGTCTTGTGTAAGAATGGCTTATCTGTTCTGCCGACTATGGGCCCCTTCTGAGCCTATAGGCCCCTTCGGGACCCAAGGGGGGCCATGGCCCCGTGCCCACCCACTTTGGATCCGCACCTGAATGGTAAGGCTACATTATCGATCAATTTGGGAATGGATTGAGGATCAAGGAATGGGTTCCAGTCTCAGCTTAATATGATTGGTTTTTGTGTGAAAAGTTCAGAATGGGGTAAATTTCACAGAAAACATATCTTAGTAAATCTTAGTAAAGGATCGTTGATGATTACCGCCGTCCCTGGCAGTGTATAACCACCACAGCCATGATCATACCACAAATGCAACTGCCACTGTAGGGGAAAACACGGGGTAACTTTTGTCTAGGTCATCTTGTACTTTTAAAACCTGTCGCATGTTGCGACCAATGACTTTATATTTCAGCTTAGACGCTATCATTTGCAAATACTCGTCAAAGGCATTTGCACACTGGCTTGACATATGAAGAAATTAGCATGGCAAAAGCATCAGGTACTCAGTGTACTATTTAGTACAAAATTATATCATACTGGCAATGATTTGTTGGAGCATATCGACAGTCAAGATAACTGTTCTGTACTACTTTGGCTCCACTTACTCTTTTTACCCATATGCATTGATAGGGCTCAGAAAAACAGTAAGGGGGGGGGGAATTCAGCATTCGTGTTTGGGGGAGGTTTAGCCCCCCAAAATATGAAGTGATGCTCCTGACTGCAGGAAATAATCTCGGAAGTGGTTATCTGAGTTGAAAACCCCATACAGATGTGTGGCAGTCGTTTAAAAGGAAGTGTTCTACATCTGCATGACGTTTTGATCTGAAATAGCCACCTGGAAGTTCATTCGGTGCAGCTTAGTACGCTGTTCACGTAAAGCCAATGGAAAGTATACGAAGTTGTATAAGTCCGGACACAGCCATCGGATCGAGGTACAATTCCGATCGATTATACAGGTGACTGTGCTCGTTGTACCACATGAAATTTCAATTCACTGCCCGGTGCATATCGCGAAATGCTGCATAATTACCAAGAACAAGTAGCCCATAGAACTCAGAATATCGCACTTATAGGTAATCTAGGAGATCAAAAACATGCAGGTTGTGGCTTGGCATAGACAAATGAATAGTTTTAATGGCTTCGAATTTCTTTTACAGTATCTGCAATGTTGCATCTGCATTATTTCATTTGCATCGCATAATGCGTTGCTGAACCTCGCCCTAAAAAATAAGGTAACAAACACGTACAACAAGCAATTTTCAATACGATGTCTACTAAAAAACAATTGACAAATACATCGCGCGTTTGTTATTTTCATATTTGGCTTCGTTATCGTAGTTCACAAAGCATCCAACAGATGTCATCAGTGTTCGCACATACGCGGTGAACCTCCTCCGAAATATGACACCGGCTGCGGACAAAAACTGTGGGACGCCAATGACGTGGGAAATTTGTTATCTTCAGCCTCTTTGGTCCGCGTGCGTCAGTGCCTCGTAGGTCGAGCCGAATCTGAGACTTTGTGCACAACTTCACGAACAACAGAGGCGGAATGAACTTAATATGCATCATCGGCTGCCGGATTATTTGGACTGCGGTCATTACCGATCAACATAACAGTGCACAGGAGCTTTCAAGACATCTGTCTTTTTAGCATTACAGGCCCGTTGTGGCGAAATAACGGATGTATGACACCAACGGCGTGAATATCATGCCAACTTTGTTCCCATTTCGGATGGTCATTCCCAGACAGAAAATGAGGCCGTTCAGAGAAATGGCATCATATACCCGATCAATATTGCGTCAAAATAGCATTCTTGCTGACATATACGTCATGTGAACATAATGAGATGCCCTGTTGTACAAACCGTGGCTTGAGAGCCCGTTATTCCCCGCAATATCCGATGCCACTTTCATAACGCCATTGACAACCAGCTGTTCCAATTTAGAGGTTAAGGTTTCTCCAATTTCCAGTTGGGTCGTTTATGTCTGGTACCATGCACTCTTGAGTGAAAGAAGCTTACTTTTTCAATTTTTCCTGGGTAAAGGCTGTGCCTGTGGCTATGTGCTCGCGTGCTATTTATTCTGGTTTGAACTAAGATATCACCAAATTTTGCACCCTTTGGACCCAAGCTGACACCAAATTTGCATGAATAATGTGTGGCTGATTTTCAGCCACAAATGTTCGCCCCGGAAAAATCGGTGCCTTTGCCATCAGAACTTTTCGACGCCAGCTTCTTCAACCACTTGATAGAACGCTCGGGGCACTTCTCGACAGTACCATCAGGCGCGGCCGCTAGATATGGGTGACTTTTGAGAACAATCAGGCCAACGGATTTCTTAACCTTCATCTTAATGTGTTTCTCGTACTGTTGCAGGGCCAATGCCTCATTGACACAGCCAAAATGCGGCGCTGGAGTGTCTATATACCTAGTGATGTCATTAACAGGAGGTTCACAACGTTCTTGCATGCGCTGGGGTCACTCACACTTGCAATTTCATGAGAGGTAATGGCCGTGATGCGCTTTCGACGTTCCTGAAGCCAACGTTTTCGGGCATCCCACCTGCTGGAATATATAAGGCACATGCAGGTGTGGGTGTGGGTGAAACCGTTCAGATCTGTTGATATGATTTAACCTTATATGATACTGGATCTATAAACTTGGACACCCACCCACACACACACACACAGAAAGGAAAAAAAGGTATAGATACATATATATGTATATATATATATATATATATATATATTCATACATACATACATACATATATATATATATATATATATATATATATATATATATATATAACATAGATGGATGAGTGTGGGTGCGGATATGGGTGTATTATGCGGCAGATGGGCGTATGCTACTTGCAATGCTCGCAAACTCTGTAAAATTCACCTGAGCGGTGACGTCAACAGTAACATGAAGGTCAGGGAATATACGTGTGGCATTCCACAGGATGTAGAATATCTTCCTCAGCTTCGTCAGCCCGATCGCCTCGCGAGCTCCGAAAACAGTACGCCGGAAACGCTAGGTCTGGAAACGTCGCCTCTCCCTAGGCGACAAAGCTGGGCAATACGCACGCGAATGCCGGCTAAAAAACGTCGGAAACGGTCGCTGAGCGTTCGCAAAAAACGTGACATGTCTCGCGCTGTCGCTTACTCGGCTCTTCGGTGGTGAGGTTGACAGCGACGGCGACCGCTCCAGCCCGCCGGCCCGCTTCGCTCATCATGTCGTGGCGCTCAGCTGGCTCCATGGCCGACATGGCGTTCATCAGGCTCTCCATGTCGGCCATGTCGGGCGGGCGGGCGCCGGGGCCGTACAGCGCCGCGACCGAGGCCGTCAGCGATACGATGAGCAGGATGCTACCGGGCACCATCGCGTCGCGTGTCCGGATCGGGACGAGTTGCTGTCGGGGGTGCCTCGAGTCCCTCGGCCGCTCAGCCTTCCACCGCTGCTGACAGTGGACTGGTTGTGTCGGGCTCCACCGGCTCCTCGGACCTGACGGTTCCCCTGGCCGTCTGGGCGATGTAATCCGTTCCGCGTTGGCTGCAGAGAAAACACAGGCGTCCCGAGAGAGACACCTAACGTAAGCAAACCACTCGCTAGCTTGAAAACACTCCAGTGCTAAACACGCGCCTGTCCCAGTTCCCGGACCCCCACTGAGGGTCGGCCCCGCGCTGGTACCGGTTCCCCGGGTCCCCACCGAAAGCTGGCCCCGTGCCGGTCTTATAATTAACGTGAAATGGATAAGTAATTGTTGTAGCCCCGCGCTCCCTGGGCCTCCCAAACGGCAGTACATCCTACGAACATCCAGTGAGATTTGCTATCGATCCATCTCGAGCAACGTCGGATTAGGCACAATGGCAAGCATGCGAGTAGACTTGTCCCACGGAGGTGTCAGTAATGAACTCATCTCTCACAAGCATTCGCCTCTGCATTAGCTGTGTGCCATTGAGCTAGAAACCACATATGTTTAGACACAACTGTTGCAAGCAGCTCTCACAGATAGCTATCCAGTACGTTGAATGTTCAGCAAACGGTGCTTTACCTGTCAGAAAGCGGTGATTTCCGGTGTTCATTATTTACGGAACTGCCAATCGTAACCTAATCAAATGCTTGTTGACATATCATCCTAGTCCAAGCTCCGGTTGTCAGTGAGATACTAAGCCATGCCCGTTGGGACTCGGAGTGGCGCCGCGCCGCGGTTTGCGCTGCCACATTGATACAAAATAGGGGCATTCAAGCGTAAGGTTTCCTTTATCCAACCCGCTCGATACCATGTGACGGTACCCATGCCGTCACTGCCACCTATACCGACGCACTACCCACCATGTGACGGTACCCATGCCGTCACTGCCACCTATACCGACGCACTACCCACCATGTGACGGTACCCATGCCGTCACTGCCACCTATACCGACGCACCACACACTCGTAATCAGCTGTAGCCATCCGTTTGCATTTTTCAGCAGCTTTGAAATGATGGAAAAGTTCCGAGTATGTTTACACGCAGGCTTGATAACGCGCAAGATATGCGCATTGCTGCAATATTGTGTTGTAATTGGTGATGCTTTTAAGCAGAAAGCGGACACCTTGTACCGTGGGCCTAGCTTCATAAAGCGGAAGTCCGAACGAGAACTCTTTTTCATTGTGTAGCATGGGCATGACAACTGGAGCTAATTTTACCTGATATTTGGATTTTGGCAAGGCCCTGATTACTTGGACATGCCAGTAAGAGCAATTGTGTTTGATATATGGGCTCAGGCAACGCCAATCAAAGGCATGTGCTTATAGTTCTACTTTATGAAACTAGGTCTCAGGCAAAATCGATGAAATGTGGAGGGAATTGGGCAACTGAATGCCACTGACTTGTTATCAAGGCTTGTGTGGATGCAGCAAAATTCCCAGATTTCCAATCGCACAATAAGGTCACGAAATGGAACATGCCCTTTTGCTTTGAT